GCTCACGGATTAGACTGACGCATATATCAGCGACGGCACCAACACATACTACTATTATATGCTCACGGATTAGGCCGACGCATATTACAACGAAAAGGATACACACTCATCAAAAAGTAACAATATAGAAGAAACTTCATATAATAATTAAATCATACCATTACTCATATACTTCATGATCAACAATTATTTATTATATTATTATATTTAATAAAGAGAAAGACAAATAAATACTACAAGTAGTCTTGAATAATTGCATTGTCCCTTCCACTTCCTTGCAGTACCTCCACCCAATATCCAACGGAGGTTTTCAGTCTGATCCCAGACAGTTAACTAGTGAACAAGTATTTGCGATGACCCACTGACCGGAAGAAGATACATCAACCTTAGTATTCAGCCGTCGACGTGAGTTTATGCTATCACTTCATTCACAAGAGGGCCAGACCACCACGCATGCCACGCTTTGCCGCATGCTCTATAGTAAACTACTCACCACAGGATCAGATCAAGGCTACTGTATCACTGTGAGTACACTGTCCGCACGACCCACTCAATTATTGCCCGTCGGTGGCAAAATCGGCATGACACTAGCATTAACAGTATCGAACAGTCTCTGATAAGTAGTGTGCAGTAATCGCTTGTCTGTATAAACCTTTTCAATTCAACATCAACTTAACGATCTCAAGAGCATTTTGTGTAGTGAAATATCCAATACAAGAAACCTTTCAAGAAATCGTATCTTCACATTAGACTGAAGAAGATTCCAAGACACCAATATGTAATTATGTAATAAATTGTATAATATATGTATAATTAACCAACTCTCACGACCTTTGTACAGCCCTTCCACCTATTTCTTTCCCGGGCATCTGCTAGGGCGGGTGATAAACTAAACTATTGAAGCATTGGCAGTTCGAGCCAAGAACTACATCACTAATTTCGAACAACATTTAATACGTTCTTGTAGATTAGTAGTTTAATTTAATTATAGTAATTTTTACGGATTACAGCAGTTTTAAGCTGAATGCAACGTGGGAGAGGTATGAGCGCACGAACATTTGTTTTGTAAAGATTGGCCAACGAACTCGAAGAATGCTTTTCTACCGAAAAAATCAAATATAGGACTATAATTCCGAAAAGTAATAACAATGAACCCTACAAGGCTATGCCCTATTGACGTCACGACAAATATCGGCATAGCAACAGCCATCGATGTGCTATCAGTGCCGCTAGTTCGTACAAGAATATTTAAGGAGCTGCACGTGCCGCGATTCCCTCTTGCTAGTACCAATCACGCACTCTCCACATCGGGCTCGCTATCCAACCCTACAATCGCCATTGTGAGGCCATGGCAAGCATCAAGCAACCTAAAGAACTAATAGCGATGCCACAACTATACCGGCACCCATGCCTCCGTAAGCAACGCACTACGCTCATTCTTACATCTCACCTCTACTGATCGGCTTACGCCCGCATGTAAGTAACGTACCACGCTCGTTCTTACGGCTTACTAACACATCGGCTCCTGTCAACTACGCAAGCAGCAACACACCTCGAACGTCCACCAATACCACTACCACATTTGATCTCAAGTACACGAGCAGTGACATCACACGGACGTCCTCCCACCGCTCCGTACACTACAGCTCTCACTCTACGCCAGTGGCTAAGATGGCACCAACTTGCTGCCCCTACCACCACGAGTCTCCCACTACAACTATTCAACCTAAAAGAAGAAGGGGAATCACGCTCCAGGCTATCAAGAATACACGTATAGACTTATCGCCACTAACATTAATGAAGAAACATTCATCTATTCATTCTATCACACATTCATTAAGCCATTCATATATTATTAACTATTCATTATTTGTCATATTTAATAAAAGGAAAGACTATTAACATTAAAGGCAGTATTGAATAATTGCATTGCCCGTTCCACTTGCCAGCAAGCCTCCACCCACCATCATAAGGAGGTTTTTAGTCTGACCCCAGACAGTAATTATAGTTTGATTTTAAAAATCACTTGATATTATTAAGTTAGTTATACAAATTTCTTCGATTAATTATAGTTTTAAGTGTAAACAAATTCTTGAAATTGAATCATATTTTATTATTGTTAATATGAATTACATTTATGTATTGTTTTTATAAACATGCATAAGAAAATTATATTTGCATATTTAGATATATTTCCGAAATATAAAAATTGATTATTCATATTTTTCAGTTATAATAATAATTATTTATTTAATCTTAGATAAACTTTTAATAAATTAAAATATAATATATCCAATATAATATAATATATAATTATCCAGTACTTTAAATAATTGTAAGTCAGTACGCAAACGCGAGTAGTGTAGAATATAACTAGTTTTCAAGTTTCGTAAACATTGTTTGCGATGGAATATAACACTACATAAAACTTATTATATCATTATTTTATATAATTTTATCAAATTACATGTTTTTAAGAAATATTTTTAGTAAATTAATTATTTAAGGAAATAGTGCCTTAATCCTGTGATTTAAAATGATGATATATGGACACATGTGTGCATACGTATTTAAATATATGTATGAATATGTTTGTGTTTATAAAATACATACTTAATAACTAAATATCTTTAGAATTTTCAATACTGTTAAATGCTTATAATAAAGATTAATTCAATTTATCATAATATACATGTGATTTATATATAGGAATTTGGATTATTATAATTGCATGGAAAATACTTGGTTCATTATTAGGTTAGTAAATTTATTAATAAAAAATGTAAGTCTATAGATTGTATTATTGGTATCACAGAAATTAAATTTACGAATAAAATTGTGTAAATGGTATTTTTTAATTAGAATTGTTAAGATTTTCAAATACACAATTTTTATATAATCAAATATTTATAAAAAATTCTAATTTATTTTTTATGAAGTATTAGATAAAAAAAATTTGATTAAATTATTGAATTTTAATTATAAAAACTTTTATTCAATATTGATGTTTTATTTTATTTGTAATAGATTTAAATTTGAATTTGTCTTTACTATTTAATTAATACACTCTCTTGTATATAAATGATTATTATTTACCATTACTATATTGAAACACATGGAAATATTTCAATTTTTTTATAAGTTATAAAAAATTACAAATTTATTTTATATTAAAAGCAGAGGTAATGATACTACATTAACAAACATTTTTAAATTGTTTTTAGCTAAATTTATCTGGAGAAAAAATATGGAAATCATTATATATAACTAGTTTTCAAAAATTTTATTTTTTAAAAATTATTTATTTATTTTTTAAAAATAAAGTATATTGATCAGTTATACTTTTGAATTATTAACATGAATTGCAAATTTATCTAATGATAAAGTTTTAATAATATTAAATTTATTTTATTAGATATTATTTTAATAATATCTCTAATGATAAAAATTTTAATAATATGTTAACAAATTTAGATTTAAATTTAGATTTATTTACACCACTTTAAAATCCATAAAACAAAAGAAAAGAATGGCTAGCTAAATCCTAATCATTATTTGTTACAGATTTTGTTTTTATATTTTTTCTGTTACGCACACATAATATATAGTAACCCAAGCAAATTATAAGATATAAATTTAAGTATGCTTACTTTTTTCTTTTTCTACTAATATTATTATCATTATTATTATTCTTGTTCTTATTATTATTTTATCAATTTTTTTCCAGATAAACAACAAAATAAATGTTCATGATATATTGTATATGATTACATTAATTTTAAATAGACTGGATCATTCAGTTACTTTTTACATTCAAAAACTTATTTTTGTAATGTAATGTATATGGACAAATTTTAAAAATATAAATTTTTCTATTTTATTTATAATATTACATTTACTTTCTTTTAATCATTGGTCAACCATAAGTATTGTATATTCCAATATATTGTTAGAAATAGATTTTTTTTAAACTACAATTGCTTTGTTATTTTAAAAATAAATAAACTTATTAATTCCATTCAAAATTTAGTTTCAATTTTTACTATATTTTTTATTCTTAATTCTACTGTATTATTATTATTATAATAATAATTTTATTTTATAATATATTATGTTATATTATATATATATAATAAATTTATAATTTATTATAAAAATAAATAAATTAGAATATCCTTAATAATAGGTTATATTACTTTACATACCATGGTTTTATTATTGTTCTTCCTGTCACTCAATTTTCATGTAAACTTCTATACAAGGAAATTATAAATTCAATTAACTATTCAATTATGTATATCTAAATATATTAAATAACAAACAGTTTTATATATATCTAGAAAGGTTTTTTAGTAATGATTAAAAAAAAAAAATTTTAAATTGAAATAAATTAATATTTTTATAAGTAATGATTTGGTATTTAACTCTTTTTTGATATTATATTATTAGTTAATAATATTCCTTATAAGATGAAAATAAAAAAATAGAATATTAAATAATTGTCTTTATTATCATAAATAATATTTAGTTATTATATTATGTTGTCAAATATATATACTTTTATTTTGTAAATTTATTATGTGTCAATTGAGATTATAAATTTTGCATTTAATTATTAGAAAATAAATATTTGATACAATTCCAATTAAGCAATTTTGATAATTTACAAATTAGTTTGCACCTGTCAAATAAATTTAATATAAGAATTCAAAATATATATTTGTTTATCATTATGTTTATAACTTATTAATCATTTTTCAGATCATACTTAACATCATTACTTAGAAAGATACATGAAAGTGGTTGAAGTGTTTTCATATTAAAAATGTTCATATTATCAATCATTTATAAACAATTTTTGCAACAATAAACTTTTTCTATGATATAAAATGTTTCTTTCACAAGAAATTTTATTTTGGTTGTTGTCTGGAATATTACTAAATATTATAGTTGAGGCACAAATTATTCAGCAATGTCCATCGCAATCTGAAATTTCTCCATGTACTTGCAACATAAAAAAGAATGGATTAGATGTTATCTGTGAATTTACTGACTTTAATCATATTAGTAAGGCGATGGATAGTTTAAAAAGACGACAAAATTCAATCATATTTTACTTGAAATTGAGACATAATAATCTACCAAAACTCCAAGGATTTGTATTTTTAGGTTTAGATATACATCATCTTACTATTCATAATAGCAGTCTGGCAGTTATTGAAGAAACTTCATTGTCATCTATTGGTGGGTTTCGATAAAATGAATTTATTTAATTTAAATATATCTAAATTTGATCATTTATTAATGTGATAAATAAATATTCTATAATACATAATTATAAATTAATAAGTTGCAAATTAAAAAGTGAGAGGAATGTAATTCTGCAAATATAATTTTTTAATTTTTTTTCAATTACAATGGCTTGTTTAATGAAAATATAGTGTATTTCTTTTCTATGTTAATGAAAATAATCCTTATATTAAATTCATATATAGTAATCAATAATTATGATATTAAATTAGATAATAATTACAATTTTACTTGGAGTGTAGTGTTTTCGTATATTTAAAAAATTAAAATTCTATTATTAAACTTCAGACTGTTTACTATTAAACTTAATTGATAGATTCATTAGGAGTTAATCATTTTTTAAATAATGAAAGTTTTTCTCATAATTGAAGTACATTATGAAATTAAAAAATTGTTGCATAGTTAAAAGAAATAAAGAAAATAATTAATGATAGTATAAGAGGTTACAAAAGATTACTATTCAAACGTTCAATTGTAAAATAAAGAGTTATGAAATATTTTAGATAAAAATATTGTAATATGAAGAATAGAACAATCGAATAAATAAGTAGATGTATAATTTGTACTAATTTAAATAACGCCAAACATAATCAAAGCAGTAAAAATATTAAAATATTAATTAAAATAATATTTGAATAATAAAATTTATATTGTATATTTTAAATAATTTTTGTAAGCTAATGTCGACTAACAAAAACTGTTTAATCAATTAATAGACGAAAGAAAAAAAAGATGATCTATATTTCCAAATATTTCTATAACTTTGACAATAACATTCAGATTGTTGAATGATTATGTAATCTGTAGATCTGCCCCAGCCTCAACATTTACATTCAATGGTATTTAATGTGTAAATATAATTGGACATGGCAAACAATACATGATAATTTTTTTAATAGTTATATAATAGGTCTAGTATACATGAAAGTTTATTTAGTAAAAATAATATAAATAGTATAAAAATAGTAAGAATACAAAGTCTGTACATAGAAAGACAATAAAATAATTTCTAATATAGACTTATAAAAATTTGTTTGCAGTCATTTAAAGCTAATTTATTATTTATATTTATTACTAATTAAATGTTGATTGCACAGATTATTTATTTTATCTATCTATCTATCTATATATATATATATATTATATTTACAGGTAAAGCTTTAACTCAGTTAGATATTTCACAAAATTCTTTGATAGCCGTTCCATCAGCAGCATTGAAAACATTACATCATCTTCTCATTTTAAATATTAATCATAATAAAATTAGCATTATTCATAGAAAAGCATTTCAAGAATTGGATACTTTAGAAATATTAACACTCTATGAAAATAAGGTTTCTGCAATTGATCCTGATGCTTTCAGAGGTCTTGACAAGTAAGCCAGGTCATTTTTGTAGTGTAATTAATGTAGCTACCAATTAAAAAATCTAATTTTAATTTGATCTAATTTAAATTTATCTAATATTTACCTAATATTAAAAATATAATCACTTATAATTTGTAGCTTAGGCGAGATTTTTATATAATAAGTTTAGGTATGTGCTGCAAAGGTTAACTTAAAAATTAAAAAATGAAATATAAATAGTTTATAAATATAAAATTTATTAATATAGCAGTTAATTAAACCGTATGTATTAATAATTATGTGTCTGGTACAATATATGACTGATCAACAAAAGAAAAGCATAAGGTAATAACATGAAAAGAGGGAAGTTAAATAAATTCTACTCAAATATTGTGGATTAGCAGGTTTTGACCGAAGAAAGCTTTATTCGGTAATATTAAAAAATGTATAAAATTTAAATTGAAATATGGAACATATATTTCATGTGGCTAATTTGATAGCAATGTTTGGTATAAACTTTTCTTGCTATATATTTCAGATATTGCCAATAACAAATATTTACTCTTATTCTTAATTATTGAGTTGATTTATTTTGTTTATACTTTTCCAAGTTCATTTATTTTTGAAACAGTTTATAGGATAAATGATTTTACTGATCTTCAAAAAGAGCTTAATAATATTAAGTTGGTACTTTAAAAGTAGGACAATCATAGCTATCTCAATAGAAGATATTTTATTTTTATTTGAGCATAATTAATTAGTTTAATAGAATAGAAAACAGTTAAACTAATGCTGTAAAAGACGAGGAATATAAAATAAATGTTATATATTTATTATTTTAATGATTTGTTTATTTATTGATAAATTTCAAATTATAAAGAATATCATTTAAACAGTTTCTATATCTGATATATTCAATTTTCAATAATAGAATACATTTTAATTTTATATATCACGATAACAATAAGAAATTTATTATTGTATTTAAGAAATATTAAATATATACTAAATAATTGTACTGTAAAACTGATTTTATTTTATTATTTAACATTTAATTAAAAATATATTTTTATTTAATAGAAGAAAATTAAAAAGGCTTAACCTAGGTGGTAATGAATTAATTGATATACCAACTTCATCATTATCATCTTTGAATATGTTAAAAAAATTAGAAATGCAAGAAAATCGTATATCAACGATAAAAACAGGAGACTTTCAAGGTAGATTATTTTATTGTCACTAATATTTAATCATCGATCGTTTATTTATTACGTATTATATTTTAGGATTAAGAAATCTTGATTCTCTAGGACTTGCACATAATGAACTTCAAGAAATATCAGCCCGTGTTTTTTCTCATTTAATACTATTAAATTCATTAGAATTAGAAGGAAATCAAATAACTCATGTTCACCCTGATGCATTTATAGGCTTAGAAGGTAAGATATAATTTATTAATAAATATTTTATATATAGATTTGTATATATATATCAGTTTATTAAATTTAGATATTCTATTTAAAATTATTTGCAACAAACATTTCGAATTGAGCTGTAATATTTTATCTACAAGTATCTGACACGTGTGTTATATACAATTTTATATTTTACATCTATTTATTGCAGCAGCTACATTTATTCTGGATGACTTTTTATCTTCAGATTTTATTTAGATGTAGGGTCTTTAGTGTTTAGTACTTATTTCACAAAAATATCATTTACATATATTTTTTAATTTTTCTCACTTTTCTATTTTAGTTCTGTTCTCTTTTTACTAATGTATTAATTTAATCTCGTGACAATTATTCCGCTGAGGTTTATAAAACGAAATACTTTCTATATATCACAATTTTTTATCATTTATTTTCCTTCTAAAAAAGATCAAATAATATAGAACGATTCAATTCTTTGAAAATAGGATAAATACACAAAAAGACTTCGATACATCAAAAAAATTATAATATATCCACTCATATGCATAAGATAAAAAATTTCACGTGAAATAGATTAGTATATTTATTCATTTTTATTGATTATTATTTACTATTTTCCAAGCATACATAGTGAATATAATTCTCTTTAACGTTTCAAATCTATTATTTTATATTCTTATCCTATAAATATATTTCAAATATCAAATGGAAATATTACATTACGATTTTATTGATAAAAAGTTTATTTATTGACAATAACATAGTAAATATCTACGTATCTATAGTTATATGACATTTATTAAATAAAATCATATGTTTGGAATTCTATCCATTAATATGATGGCAGATCAAGGTGGATGAACTAGACCGTACCGCCGGCGCCCCCCGGTTTTGGGGGGGGGGGGGGGGGGGGGGGGGGTGAGTAGTTAATACATCTATTCAGTGTAAACGCAATTAGTTTAGTGTGTCTTTTATTTAAGGTTTTGTTACATTGGTTGTTGTAACCGATCGTTATGAGAATCGTTGAGCTCGTCGTGATTTAACAGTTGGCCATTAAACTGTAGAACGTCGTCCGGGAGTGCATAGCTAGGACTGTGGTGGTAATACTGGGTACGCTTTATTGTTCTTTATGGAGGAGAGAATCGCGGGAGTCACGAAGCCATAAGCGCTCTCATCGGCGAGAAATGAGTTAGTAGGGACTATATAACAGTATCGGCGCCCTCTTCCGCGGTCTGATAAAAATCAAGTTGCAGAGGCCTGACCGATAGTGTCTGTATTGTAATATAATGGGAGCTGCCAGGCAGTATCGGCGCCCTCTTCCGCGATCTGATATGAATCAAGTTACAGAGGCCTGATAATAGTGTCAGCGCTGAGCTGTAATAATAATATAATACAAATAGTTTGCTGGAGATGCCAGTCTACGTCGTCGCCCTCAAAGCCGTCTAACTATAGTCACGTTGCAGAGAACGCACCGATAGCTGGCCAGCAATAGATAATAAATAATGTAAATAAATGTGTATACCTTACTCAACAAGACTGATTTTCTTCGTCGTTTATTACACCTTATATATGATTGCGTAAATTTAGCGTTGTAATTCATGGAAACTCTGATGAATTCTCGGAAAGCAAGCTTTAGTAGTGTTACGGATTACAGCAGTTTTAAGCGGAATGCAAAGTGGGAGTGGTATGAGCGCGCGAACATTTATTTGTAAAGACTGGCCAACGAACTTGAGAATGCTTCTATGCCGATAAAACTCGAATATACGACTATAATTCTGAAAGGTAATCACAATGAACCCTACAAGGCTATGCCCTGTTGACATCACGACAAATATCGGCATAGCAACAGCCACCGATGCGCTATCGGCGCCCCTAGTTCGTACGAGAATATTTAAGAAGCTACACGTGCCGCGATTCCTTCTTGCTAGTACCAATCACGCTATCTCCACATCGGGCATGCTATTCAACCCTGTATCGCCATTGTGAGGCCATGGCAAGCATCAAGCAACCTAAAGAACTAATAGCGATGCCACAACTATACCGGCTCCCACTCCTCCGTAAGCAACGCACCACGATCGTTCCTTCACACTCACGTACAGAAGCAGCGACGTCACACGGACGTTCTCCCACCACTCCGTACACTACAGCTCACCCCACGCCGGCTGCTAAGACGGCACCAACTTGCTGCCCCTACCACCACGAGTCTCCCACTACAACTATTCAACCCAAAAGAAGAAGGGGAATCACGCTCCAGGCTATCAAGAATACACGTACAGACTTATCGCCACCAATATTAATGAAGAAACACTCATCTATTCATTCTATCACACATTCTTTAAGCCATTAACGGCACTATTGAATAATTGCATTGCCCCTTCCGCTTCTCAGCGACCTCCACCCACCATCATAAGGAGGTTTTTAGTCTGATCCCAGACAAGTAGATTAGAAAATCTTTCTTTGTTGCTATGCGGATATAGCACGAGGCTTAAATTTCATCGAGAATTTTCGTATCGAATAATTCAAATATTATGCATTTTGAACATAAATATAATGTAATGGAATCATATTATAATAAACAATAAATTTTTTATTGTTGAGTAGTTCAATCCTAAACATCATAAATATATTAAATTTTCTAAACCATAACTTTCAAAATAAAAAATTATTATTTTAATAAATTCTTTTATTTCAGAAAATTTGCAGTATTTAAAATTAGGTGACAATAATTTACATTCAGTACCGTGTGATGCCCTACGTCGATTGCATCGTTTAAGACATTTGGATTTACGAGCTAATAATATTACTATACTTTTAGAAGATTCTTTTACTGGTTATGGCGATTCAATAACTTTTCTTAATTTGCAAAAAAATATGTGAGTATTTAATATATTTTGTTAAATTAATTTTTCACATTTTTAAGTGAAAAAAAAATCATTAAATAAATAAAAAGTTATAAAAAAGTTGGTTTTTTATAAATAATGCATATATAAAAATTATTAATTTAATATTTATAAAAATTGTACAATAAATAGAAAACAGTGTAATATTTATATAACATTTAGACATGAATAGTATAAGGCTTTTATGGCGATGTTTAAAAATTTTTAGATTTTAGTTTATTAAATATTTGTGCATTTGAAGATAAATATAAACGAAATAGTTGAAAGTAAAGGAATTAATAATTATAAGAATAAGAAAAAATATAAGACAGCAAAATAATTTATGATTTATAAACATATTAAATATATTAAGTCAATTTTTATACATTATCGTTTCTCTAAATAAGAATAGTTAAAGAGCATGCTTATGATTTTATGGTAATAGAAATGAAAAGAATAATATCTCACCTATCTTTTTCTTAGGAATATTGCTATTACTTGCTATATTCGAGAATTTACCAATGACATTTTAAATTATACATATTTGCAGTTAAAACTTTTGTAAATAATATATAATAAATAAAAAATTTTTTTAAAAAATTCCATTTCAAACAAGTAGATAATTTCTAATATAACAGACACGCGTTAATGAATAAATATCTATAGAAACTTTCTTATAGAATTTATTTAAAAATTTTAATAGCATAATGGAAAAAGCTTAACAAGTTTGATAAATTTGACAGTAATTGTTTACAATATATTTTCTGATAAAATACCTTTTCGTTTTTTCAAACGTGTTTTGTATTTCGTAAAGTTAACTCTACTATATTATTTTTAAGTATAAAAATATTCTGATCTATTCGATTTGAATTATCTAATTTTATGTAAATATATATGAACAAGCATAAATTCTTTAATTACTATAATAAAAAATATATTTATATATAACGGATAAATAAATAATAACTGTTCGAAAGTGGTATTATTTTTTAGGTCGAACTGCCAGTGTTTCGATAGCTTTAATAATTTGCCGTCCGCTCTAGCTGATGCTTAGGTAGAAGTCAAGTGGAAGGGTTGTAGAAATTTGTAGTATGTGCAAACTTGGTTAACGTATGGTTTATTAAAAGTTACGTTAATAATAAACAGGATTCACTTCTTACGGAAGAGTGTAAACTCTGTCATGTCTTAATGATGAGCTTGCTCCTTGATGGTGACAATGTCGTCGCCTCTGCTAGTGTTATAAGGACTAGCACAGATATGCTCACACTCCTGTGTAGGATATATGGCCTTGAAGTGTACATATGCACACACGCCGATATAGGATGTGTGGCCTTGAAGTGTATACAATAAAGTAGCTTCTGCTAATATTGCCAAGAATTGCAGACAAGCATTGCAGGCCATTTGAAACCAAAACATAACAAGTACACGAAAATTCTCGTCCTAACTGTTTACAGAAACCTGAGAACTGGAGAGACTAGCGATGCCGAGAGCCAACAGTCTTGGAAATTGCTGCAATCCTGAACACATAATTGTATACATCAATTACATAAATTACAGGTCGAGTTTCAGTTACTTTTTCCTATCTAACAATAATAAATGCATAGAATATAATCATTAATAGTTATATTAACTATTAGCTAGTACTTCCTTATGTTATTTAGCATTTTCTGGGTATTTAACTGCTTAATAGTTCATAATAAATAAATAATATAACAGAAACTTACTCGATGTATTTAAATTATCTTTTTGAATTATGTATTATAAAATAATATCGGCATTAAAATCAATGGTAAGAGTCACTATATTGAGTCATTGCAATAAAAGGATGTTGAAAAGAAAACAATGACATTTTTACCAAAATTGAATTAATTATATATTTTATTTCACGTACCACCTTATATTTTTTAAAAAATATATAAGTTAACCATAATCTAATTAGAAATAATTATTGTATTAATAATGCACACTACTATAAGATTATTTATCCAAAGCCGAATGATTATGCTTTACAGTAGATTGCAGACCCATAATTATTTGATTTAATGGATTGTATCATTAGTAAGTTTCTATCATGCTATATTTACCAAATTACTAAATTTATGTACGATTTTCATTTTATCTAATATGAAAAAATTTAAAAAAATGCGTTTGAAATCATAAAATATAAATAATAATTATTATTATTATGTTCACTAGAAATTGCAATATATTAAATACATTAATTTTGATGGATAGTGAACGAGCAACAGCTTAATTGGATTTATACTAATTGTAAAATGATCTTGTGTTCGGGATTGGAGCATTTTTTCGAGGCCTTCGGTTCTCAGAACTCCTAAGCCGTCTAGCCCTCGTATATTCATATTTACTTTCGCCGAATTCTCGATTAGCTTAAAGTTTTTATTTTCGAACGTTATGCGAGGCCACTTTGCCTTCACATAGCAACGTCGATTTAATTCTCGAATTTTCCAAGACTTTGCCTTCGCCGAATTCTTTAATAGTCTAAAGCTTGAATTCTCGAACCTTTCAAGACCTTGCTTTCGCCGAATTCTCGAATAGCTAAAGCTTAGATTCTCGAACCTTCCGCAAGGCGGCTAGCTCCGCATATCAGCATCTAAGCATTATTGCCAGCTTTAGCTGCCGCGCTGATACTTAAGGCAGCGCGCATCAAGACTCCTCGTAGTTATCACTCACTACATAGAGCCAGTTATTCGTCTGACATATATGATAGTCATCTACGCCCTAGAGACGCTGTGAAACTGGAGTCTACAGTAGAGATAAAGTCACACAACCCACGCTCTCTCAGTGCAGCCATTGCAAGGCACACGCGTTCAATTCTCCAGTGCGCAACGGTTAACAACCAGTCAAGGGCTGACTGCAATACAAGGAAATAGTTGACTACACGAAGCATGGCATCGGACTCTTGTACACTCGAAGGTGTACTATCAGTCTTTATTGAGAATAAATACCACATAAACATTCCCATACTCCCCTTATGAGTATGGTCCACTCTCTCTGCTAATCCCAGCTACATTTCCACATTCCGATTCCCTCAGATCACATTCCCATACTCCCCTTATAAGTATGGTCGGCTCTCCTTGCCAACCTTTACAATGTTAGCATAGATCTCAACCAAGCCTTTTCAGGGAATTTACAATTTCATTGCTGATCCCCATAACGCCATTGACGATATCGTCACCATCACCAAGGAGCAACTACATCATTGTGAAAGAACATAATTAACTTTCTACCACAAAAAGTGAATACAGAACACCAATAGTGTGATTGTGAATAAATCCAAATAAACGATGTCCTGAACGAAGTTTACACTCTGTACATATAACTATACATATAACTCTGTTTTACGTATGTCCTTTCCTAAGCATCGCCAAGGTGAGCGACAAATAAACTGAACTATTGAACTTGGCACTTCGAGCCAGAAAACTAAACTCATTTGATCCTATGAATCGGATCAAAATAAACAAACATTTTCGAACATCTTGCAATTGTTTTTATTTATTATTTTCGAATTTTAAATTAAACCATGAAACACGCTTAGTTTTAGGAAAAAAGATTTTGAAATATCACGTTATTGTATTTCTAAATATTGATTATTAACTACATCAAATTCTAGAATTATTTGAATTTTAGCCATTATAAACGACCTAGTGTAATAATTAAAAAAAAGTTTTGTTTGTGTAAATCACATTTTCATAATGAGACAAACTAACAAATTTTTAATTCATCTTTTAGAGTTTAATTGAAATATTTATCAAATAAATTGACTTGCAAATTAAATATATTATTTTTTAGATGAAATTCTATGATAAAGAAAAGATATTTAAAATATATTTATCTTTAAATATGTTTTTAATTCATTTTAATAATATTATATATAATACAGATTCTGATTAAAGTTTAATTGCTTAAAATACCTTTCGTAGATTTTCAGTTATCCGAATCTGAATTTTTTTCGTTATATTGAATCTTGAAAATATTAAATAGCTATTATAATGGCGTATAGCTTTTGTTTTAATAGGAATGCACATATGTAATAATTAATGAACTAATATCAATATTATCCAAAGACATAGCTTTATTTCTTTTAGGATTAAAATTCTGCCAACTATGATTTTCGAAGCATTAAACTCCTTAGAAATACTAAATCTACAAAATAACAAATTAACTCATATTCCGGAGGATGTAACAGAAAATTTAGTAGATACATTGAAAGTTATTGATATAACAGGTAAGATTTTATTTACTAATATATATTTATAATTTTGTTTCCTCGTAATTTTTGTGGCTTTGATCAGAATTTAATTAAATATTTAAAAAATGTTATATCTGTATAAAAATATTATGTAATTGAGTATGAATAGATAAATAAATAAATAGTGTATAAATAGATTAATTTATATTAAATGCTTTGTAAATTATTTAAAGGTAATACAGATTTGTGGTGCCTTATTTAAATAAACATTTCTTGATCTATTCTTCATTCACGTCTAGTTATAATATATTATACAGTTCTTTTAATGAGTTTTATATTATTATTATAATGTCATCTTTGTATTTTGCAAAACATGTTTTTCTTACCAGTTACCAAAAGTTTTTCATATATACCAAACTTAAACCATTTGTTTTCATTGACACAATGGTTTTACTATAAACAAATTTTAACGATTCTGGAAGATTTCACTAAAGCTAAATAGCGTAAATAATGGTGAACCATGGTTGAAAAAAACTCAATACGAAAACAGTATTTTATTCTTACTATTTTGCGAAATGATAATGTATAATCATCGAGAAATAGCCGAGCAATTGTAGTTAATAAAATTTATATTCTAGGTAGTAATTATTTATATGAAATCGAAAATTTTACCTACTAATGTATTTATGAAGTACAAAAGATTAATTCATAGGAAGTTCAATTAATTGTAAGGAATGTTATTAAATCTAGCATTAGTAGTATTTGAAATATGTACAATCATTTGTTAATGTTCGTACTTAAGTTAAGTTGATTTTTATTAAAATTATCGAATTGGTTTGAACCTATGTGAATTATTATTAAAAAAACTTCGGCTATTTCAAGTATAAGAAATATTGATTAGACGGTCTAAAATTAAAACTTAATTTAATAATATAAACTATTATTTAGTATTGCATGTAATAAAATTTAGATACCTTCTTTAACGATGTATTGTTGACTTAGGGTATTTATGTTCTTTAGTTTTTTTTTTTTAATTAATAACTATATATTATGGCAATACAAAAATTGTTTTGTGTCAATAATGCTGTTGGTATATAATTATATACAAAACTTGAATAAGATAATAATAATCATAATATTAACAGTAAAAAATATGCTAAATGCAATACTTAAACATTGATCGTATGGTAGCGATCAATATAAAATATCGAGTATAATATACAATATAATGTCTAAAATATTGTTTTACTAAAATATACAAAATACGTTTTCCAGTAAACAGTAAATTTAACATTAGTACGATTAAAAACTGATAATATTCATAATCGATTAATATTTAAGTATTAGAAAAAATTCTCAATTAATAAAATGAATTAAATATCCTACAATAATTAATTATGCTAATAAACAATCAAATAAAAGTATTTATTATAATACTAATATGTTATTTGTAAAAAAATTGAAGATATAAACAAATTAGATGAGTGTATAATTATATTTGTAAATCAACTAAATATTCAGAATTGGACAATCAAAATGAATAAAATTTAACGGAATTTTAAAAATATATTTACCGTATTTAATATCTTAGTATTGAAAACAGTAATAAAAAAATTTCTAACATTTATTTGATCAATCTTTAAAAAGGAAGTATGGTACTGACAAATAAATATTGAATTACGTGTCTTAAAAAGTAATAAATTAATACTACTGATACATATATAAGGAATTTGGTTTACAGTATAAATGTGAATAAATTTTAAAATATATTCTTTTGTTTTTTTATATTACAGGAATGAACATATATACATATTTTAACTTTCAAAACTATAGCTGTAAAAATCAGCCGAGACATTACTAAAATATAAACAGACAGTTAATTTAATTGATACATGAGGGGGGTTTGTTTTTTCTTACACTGATACAGCTGAAACGGATATAATTTATCTTAGCCGTTTGAGGAAATATGAAGGTGTAATATATGTCTTGTCTCAAATATAATAATAGAAGAAAACTGCGTGAAACAAGATAGCATAGTATTTTCTTAAAAAAAGAGTACAATAATTAGGAACGATAATGTATTTGATAAGGGATCAACTGTCTAAAAGGATTTTTTACTATTTCATGTACAATTATATGTTATAAAATTTAACAATAACACCATATATTTTAGGGTTAACTTGTAAACAGTAATAAATATTGACAGAGTAGACACAGTACTATTAAGAATGGAATTTGACGCATGAAGTATATTTGATTAATTAAAAAATATTAATGATATTATATAATTAATTTTATTAATTTGATGTAAGTTAAAAATTACAAATTATAAGGTAACGTTTAATATAAATATTACATTTAAATATACAATGTGTTAGTATATATACTAAAATGAAAAATGAGCAATATATAAACTGAATTATAAACATTAAAAAATGGTATATGTAAAATTCAAATTAACTATTGTAGAAATTTATTTAAATTTTGAATCATAAATGTGCTTTAATAAACAAATAAAATTGTTTATGAATTTTAATCATTAAAAATTATATTTATCAATGATTAAATTCAATTTTATACTATAATATCAAAATATAATTCATTATCTTATACGCATTTATTGATTTTTTAAATATTTATTTATATACAAAATTTAATTAAAAATATTTCTGTTATAGATAATCCTCTTATTTGCGATTGTGAACTACATTGGTTTACTGCATGGTTAACTAACCTTCGAGATAAAGATGATGAAATAATGTCAAAAAAAAGAACTATATGTACAATGCTTTCAGAACATCGAGAATATCCTGTTCAAAAAATGCCGTTACAAAAATTAGGCTGTTTAAACAATAAAAATCCTATACGAGCATTATCGACATCTGGCTCTCCGTATAAAACAAATTTTCTTATTTTAACAATATGGTGTCTAATAAGTATATCTTAATAATTTACAGATTTTGGAACAGACTGTTAAGCATTATTTTATAATAATGTTAAGTATTATTTTATTGTGATAGATATGTGAAGTCATAAGCGAAGTTCTCTAAAATAGATAAATGAAATTTAATTGAAAACTGCACATAAAAATTGTTTTAATATAAATATATTAATTTGAAAAATGGAAACAAGTCATCCTTTATTTTCAGCAAAGTAATCAAACTATGATAATCACTTTAGCATAATAAATAATTGTTAAATATTTAATATAAATCTGAATGTATTAGGACACTAATTTTTTGTAATATTTAATTGTATAATTTATAAATAAGTACAATTAGTAATTTTAATCGATTTTTATCTCCATTATGAAAGATTTAACTCTACCATTACTAAAATGATATTTATGTGGATATAAACGAATATGAATATCAAAATACAATGTATTATATATCTTTTTTATGATAATTTCACCTTACAATTACATATATTTTATTATCGAAAACTAATGAACTTGCTTAATATATTAATGGAATTTTAAAATTTGTTAATCATTTGTTTTGGCATTATTACATATCAATCGAGAAATGGAATTCATTAAATATTAAATTAGTTTCAATTACTGATATGTATATCTAAGATATACAGTTATTTTACTTTAAAAAAAAAAACTGAGTATTTCCAATTCTGTATTATTTTTTTGATTCTTCAAATTTAATTTTATATTGCAATGTATATTATTAGCTATCAATTTTATCATAGCATACGCCTTTATAATTTCATAACATGTAAAGTAATTTAGAAATTTTATAAGTTAGACTCACAAGCTTATTGCAGAAGACTGCATTATTATATCAATGTCGAGGTAACAATTTGTGAAGTGTTAATATACTATATAAAATAGTGCAACTGTAACATCCTTGCATGGAAAATGATCAGTTTTATCGTTGACTAATAATTACAATCATTGGCAGACATACTTATTTAACATTTTCGAAAAACAATACGCCCAAATCTTTTTCAATAGTTTCAATGAATTTGAAATGTAACAAATTTTTTGTTCATAGCATATATTTTCTTATTGGAATTTAGTAATTCATTAAAGGTTATATATAATATAAAATATTAATATATTAAAACTATCAGTAATTATTATTCAAATTATGTTTATGTTCCTTTTCATTTAAATATAATTGATATATTATTACGATCTCGTTTTATTTGAGTATGACCTGTATGATAGATTTTTATAAAGCATGACACAATAATTAATATTCTAAACTTATCTATAATTTAATTTTTTGTACATATTCCTACTAAATAATTTGTCTGAATACTTTAAAAAATTTCAAGTTTTTATATAGAACTTTCGTGTAATTTTATTCTTTTTATTTCTAATGTAATATTATTGTTACTGCATTTTTGACTATTTGTTTTTTAAAATACTTATTTTAAGCATATAAATTAAAATTTTTATTCGATTAGACTTATTTCTTATATAGTGTTTATATTTTTTTGTCTGTCAATAATATTAACCATGTGTAGTTTTAATTTTACGTTTGCTATTATTCTCATATAAATATTACCATGCTACGTAGAAACGCATACCATTTTTCTTGAAGTAATTTTTTAATTTTTTTTTTATTATTACTTTAGGAATCCCTAGGTGTAATATATTAGAGCTTATTTATTAGATCTTTTTTTAGTATAAGAAATGTAACTTACAAAAAGGGGAAACAATAATACAATTAAACTCGTATAATCAACGTTTTCTGAAAAGGAAGAAATACTGATTAAATATCAGATCCTCAAAAAATAATTTTATGTATATACTTAAAATCATTTTAAATTAAAATAAAACATTAAGAACATTATATTACAGATTACAATATAAAAATTTTCGCTATTATGTATCATAAGGTAATCCAAATTTATAATTATTTATAAAATAATTAATGAATTTCTATTTATTAATTGATGCAAAAGCATAGAAGAAAAATTAATTTAAAAATATTACTTCTATCACAAAAGTCTGCTTACATCAATAGTTTTCGAAGTAGACATAATTTTCATGATAATGCTTAAGGGACATAAATTTTAATCTGAATGGTATTCTTTTTTTATCTTTATATGAAATATCTATATAAATCATCAAAAAAAATACTTAGGTTACAATAATATTGAATATAACTATTGATAATCATTGTGCTGGTATGAAAAGAGAATTTTCAAAGATTTATTTATTTAGTTAATTATTATTGTAATTGATATAATAAAAATCATAATTATAGGTATAACTAAGCTTTATTAATGTGCGTTCAATTATTTCAGTAGAAGTCTGCTTTTTCTTTCTGAATTTTGTAGAACAATGATTTTCCATTTTTGGAAATATAGTGTATATAAATTTAAAATACATTTTATAAAACGAATTAATTACACTTAAAATAATAAAGGAAGGAAATACTAATGATATATAGATAAAATTAAATTGTACACAAAATTTTAAAGAACTGACAATTAAGTACTATTGAGAAATGCAAAATTGGATTTTTAAACAACTATTATATAAAAATTTTAAAGTATAATGTCAAAAAGATAAGAAGCCTTTTTTCATTAATTGATATATCTAACAATCTATATATTTAGTTAAGTAGAATAAAAATTTCTTGTGTATTACAGACAAAGAATAGTATGTAAAAGATAAGTGATTTTATTAGTGAACGATTCATATTCTAGAACTGTATAAAAACTTGTGATTGTGGAGCATCAATTACATATGTTCTACTAAATTCTCAAATATCAATACGAAGTGCATTTAAATCTGCCAGTAAGAATAGTTAAAATAGATATTAATTGCTGTAAAATATGTAATGCCCCTTTCTGAAATATTGCATTTTCGTTCCATTAAAAATATGAATATGTTTAAGATTTACAGACAAATTCATTTAGAAATATTTATTATTTTAATTTTTATAAGATTGTAGTCATTCATGTACAAAATTACTGTTATTGTATTATCTTTTTAGTCAGTCTGACATACAGAAATAATACTTCTACACAGTAAAAGCATTAGTACAGACAAAAATCAAGCGATTAAAATGAATTTAATAAAATGACTGTATTTAAAACATTTCTGTAACAAATTTAATTGTTTTAAAGATGTGTAATATTAAATTCATATATCACAAAATTACCTTTGTAATTGTTTTTCTTATAATATACTGAATATAAACATATTTACAATTGCCACAATTTAATGCAAAAATTCTAAAAAGAGATCTAAATATTTTTATTAATTCAATATTTATTCTTTCAAAAAAACATATCGAGAATAAGGCAAAATACTTTGTTTTTGCAGTAATGATTAGTAATAAGAGACAGGAGAATAAAATAATTTATCAAGAAGAGTCAATGATAAGTTAATTCATTTCGGAGCATTGAATATTTAGAAGTTTGGTAGTCTCAGCATTTATATTACAATTCAGAAGGTAAAGAAAAACAAACCCAATAAGTGAATGAATTATCGAATTAAAACATTTAACAATTGAATATTATATTCATTTAATTTATATAAAGTTGGGAAAATCAAATAATCCATTGGAAAATACTTTTCTGTAACCCAACAGTTGTTATTAAAATAGTTAGTATACATATAATTTATAAGTCACATTTCATTTTTTTTTATATATTATTGCAATTTTAGCAATAAGTCGAACATAGTATTATAATTTAAAATAATTTAGCAATTATAGTGATTCTTCTAAATTGTATATGTCATAAATGAGTTGACAATTAATTTATAAATTTTAATGCGTAAATTTACTCGACACTTTTTTTTCCTGAGAATGTTATTAATTTAAATCTCAAAATATATACAGTTATAATAACTACACTATATATTTTACATCTAGTATATTACGATATAGAACTAATATGTTATATTTAAACACTATAAACAAAAAAATTTCCTTTTGACAATAAAAATTGAAAGCTGAGTCACTGAATATCTATTTATATGGATAGTTGTAAATATTTTGATTTTTTATTACAATGATTATATCAATAAATAAATTTATAAAAATTCTCATTTACGATATATTCTTATTTCGCATATGTAAAATACATAGATGTGCGAGCACGTATGTATGCACTCATACAAACGTCCTATCAGATTTAAGAGATAATGCTGAAATGATATTTTATATAATTTATTTTAATTAGAAAACTTATTTATTCGATATGCTTAAAAATGAACTATTGAATTTTCATATAAAATATAATATATTAATATTAAAAAATTAACTGTATTGTTTATGATATAGTTCCCTACTTGTTCTTTTAAGCATTTGTCCATGAATTTTTGTACTTTTGGAGCACAATTGTGTTTAAGATTATGCAAATTATTATGTATATCCTTTTAATTTAATCTTTTTTACTAATTTGTTTCAAATACTTGTGATTATTTGTATATAATGAAATATATATTTTAATTTACAGCTTTTATTTCTTTGATATCAATCATACTCGAACTTGCTAGTGTCCTTTACCTGGCAAAACTCTTGAAAGCTGCGGATTGCGGATTAATACAAAGAGGTACACGTGAAGTATTAAGTTGTTCAGCAATAAACTTGTGCATTTCCTCTGAAATAGAAATAAAAAAAAAATAATAAACAATGAATATGTAATTGAAAATTTAATTAACAATACATCTTTTAATGTCAATTACTTCACTATTTTTTAAAAATCTAACTAGAAAAATGCTAATATTGGAGACAAATGGTTGAAAAAAAATATATATATTTTTTAATATATTTTCTTATTTTCATTAATTACTTTTAAATATAAGTAATCTTGCGTAACTTCTAAACCAGGTAGAAGAAAAGGAAAACTGCGAGCCTCTGAAAAGTTTTTCGACTTTTAATAGTTTTGACTATAAATGTTTAAAATAATTGCAGTAAGATCTGTAAGTTTATACGAGCTAATAATAAGTAACTACGTAAATATTTGTGCGATTCAAATTATATTATAGAAATAGCATTTATAAATTTAGCTAAGTATAATTATTTGTTTGAAACGGCAGATACATGAAGCTCCGAATCTTTTAGTAATTTCAGTAATAGATAAAATTCTATGAATTTGTAAGACACATGTAAAACATACAGATAGTGAATAGTCAATAAGACAACATGTACAGGTGAAACCACGCCTACAAATATAGATTTCAAATAAATAAATAATTTAACTTACATTCCATTTAACATATTATTTATAGAATTTATATATATTGCAAATACAAACTACTAGTGTTATTTCATAGAATAGATAAAAGTGATTTGTGGAATATAAAAATGATGCCCCCTCCCCATGACATATATATTTTTGATACATACATACAAGATAGCGTATACACTGAAATATTTTACATATATTAATTTTTTTTAAAAATTATTATACACAAACGCATGTAATATATGTATATTTAGACATATACATACATTTAGTATTATGTATTAGTGTTAATTATATCTATATTTATTAACATTTACAGAGATATGTATTAAAATTAATGTAAATGAAAATAAACCAAATCAGATATTGTTATAGTTTGTTGTTTTTATATTTTTACAGGAATACTCTATGTAGGAGGGCTGACATTTAACTCCTCAATTTTATGAATTTTTATAGATATACATTTACTTTTAACTTTATTATATATATAAATGTGTGTAAACAAGTATAAGTCATATAAATATTAAATTTTGGAATTGAAATGGCTACATAGTAAACGAAACGAAATTAAATAATAAAATTATATTATAAATATTATAATAATAAACCACCATGAGTATTTAATATTAAAATGCATAAATGTTTAATTATTTTTTAAAATGAATTGAATGAAAAATATAAGTATAACTATTAAATTGAAACATTTCTTAAATACCGTGATTACATTTTTCTTTTTATTGAGATAAAACTCATTTTATAATCAAGTCCTACTGTTCGAGAATGCGAGAACATTTTTCCTTTTTTTGTCAGTGCAATAAAACACCTGGCAAGTAACATCGTAAAATTTGTATTTGGATTTCAAAACATCGCTTGCTCAAAATTCTCACGCATTAGTCTACTATAACATCTGGAAAACCTATAGTTTAGACATCTGCATTTTCGTTCCGCTCGGTAACTACATCAAGTATACTACGATACCCCATCTCAAAATTCTCAGGCAAATATTCAGAATGGACTATGTTTCGAGATCTATTTGTCTCCACAGTTATTGATAACAAAAGATATAGCGATTCAAAAAAACTCCATTATTTCCAAAAAACACTGACAGGTGAGGCTGCCAAGACCATATTGAGTATTCGTTTAGATAGCACTGCATTACGACTGCCATGACAATCCTTGCGAAAAGGGTATAAAAACCCTCGTCATCTAACACAATCTAAAATAAATAAGTTCACCGCCTTTCCGCCACCACTAAAGGACAATGCAGAAGACATAGAAGATTCTTGTCGCTTTGGCAATAATTTGTTAAGGAAAATGCGACACCTCCAACTGGAGTCAGACCCATGGGACTGTATAATGGTGCATAACATCGTCCAGAGATTTTCTCAAAATACAATGGATCTATCGGAAAGTTATATAAGTAATACAAGCTAGTATCCCACCTATGAGCAGCTCAACACATTTTTAAATGATAGAGTACGTGCACTGCAGCACAGCAGACCTTGGCTTACTGACAATCAGTCGCAGAAGAACAAACCTCTGTAAGGCGGGCGGTTTCCGTTAACAAAATGGCATTCGACGCACAGTCCTCACTATCACACGGGCAGAACCCAGTCAAGAGCCAGAAACTATTATATTCAATGACTGCACGACCAAAATTCTCGGATTACAATGGAATCCACATGATAATTTCACATTTACAACAACAGTGTCCATGGACACCAACCAGGTAACAAAGCGAATAATTCTGTTTAATATGGCTAAAATCATTGATCTACTAGGTTTCGTCTCACCCGTGGTAATAAGAGCTAAAATGATGCTGCAAGAATTATGGCTACACATTATCAAATGGGACGATCCACTGCCTGACCAAATCTCAAATAGATGGAGCACCATCAAAAAGGATCTGTCAGAGTTAAACAATATCAAGGTAACACGATGGTTCAACCCAGAGAAGACATCAACTGTCGAACTGTATGGTTTCTCTGATGCTTCTCAATTGGCCATGTTAGCAGTCATCAATCTTGTCATCCACAATCCAGACTACAAGGTTGCCTTCGTATTCTCCAAGACGAAGGTAACCCCGTTAAAGAGACTTACCATTCCCAAGCTGGAGCTAGCAGCAGCACTGCTACTATCAAAACTCATGCATTATGTTAAGAATACCCTAAACATAAAGGTAACCTTGTGGACAGACTCGAGAGTAACCCAGGCATGGATAAAATCCCACGCATCACGTTGGGAGGACTTTGTGAGAAATCGAGTAGCACAAATTCAAGAGATCACATTCGATTCTCAATGGAACTATGTTCCCGGAACCTCCAACCCTGCTGACTGTGCCTCACGAGGATTGACCATCGCACAACTTAAGGATCATAATTTATGGTGGACGGGACCTCCATAGATGCAGTCACCAGAATCATGGCCTAAGCAGCCAACACAGAATGACGAAGCGTGTGAACAAGAAGCACGTCCTGGTATTTCTCTTGCAGCTACCATACAACCCATTGACTATCACTGGGATGTAATTTATACGTATCCAAAACTACATCAAATATTGAGAATCACAGCTACATCTATTGGATTCATCGAACGTTTAAGGAAAAGGCGTGAGCCTTCTTCCGACATGCCCATAAATTCACAGGAGGTAGAAAATGCACAAATTTTCTGGATAAAGGCAACACAGGCTGTTTATTTTTCCCATGAAATCAAGATGTTTGAGTCAAAACATAAACTGCAAAATGGACACGCATTCCATCGCTTAACAGCTTATATCGATTCGCAACGAGTAATCCGAGTAGGAAGACGGCTAATGAATTCTTCTCTGGCATACGAACAAAAACACCCTGCAATTTTGCCACGCCAATCACGATTTACGGATCTTGTAATAGCCCAGGCTCATCAAAGGACACTGCATGGAGGCACCCAATTCACCCTAGTGCATACACGACAGCAGTATTGGATTCATGGAGGCCGACAAGCAGTAAAATCTCACATGCTGCGATGCGCCATATTTGCACGACAGAGAGGAATCTGTGCTCAACAGATGATGGGACAATTACCGCTGTTGCGAGTAACACCATCAAGACCATTTGCGTATACGGATGTCGATTATGCTGGTCCTATAACCCTAAAAACATGGAAGGGCAGAGGCGCAAAGACCCAAAAGGCATGGATGTGTTTTTGTATGTTTCGCCACATCTGCTGTACACCTTGAAGTGGTCAGCGACTATTCAACAGATGGATTCATAACCGCCTATCGAAGATTCTCTTCTCGCAGAGGCATCCCACACACGTTGCATTCAGATTGTGGCACCACAAGCATTACTGCAAGCGGACCTTCTTTCCCCTTCCCGCTGTCAACAAGTTGCAATGCTGTCACCAGATGTGTCAGCCCTCCCCCTGCCAACATGCTGTCGCATGCGATAGCAGCAATGAGAGATCTGCTCATAATGAAGACAAAGAGACGACTAGGCCTTTAATTAACTCCGAAACCAAAAGAGGTGCTGCCCTCGCACTATAAGGGAGGAGTCTCTGATTGGATAGAAAATAAGGGAAGGGGTTCAAGTAAAATTCATGGTCAGCAAATGTATTTAAGGGGCGCAATTTTCAATACTCATTTACTCCTTGTACTTAACTCTATTAATCCTTATCATTCGTGATATTTAACTGTCTTGATATTTATATTTTTTTCGATCATGCTCATGAAAGAGAATGAGAAGATGGTGTTTGAAATCAAGTATGCTTGGTAGAAAGAATGATAATACTTGATAGAGTGTATGTTCGGGATTGATGCAGTCACATGAATTTCAAATAAAGAAAGATCATACGCGCTGTCCGGCGTACAGCATGCGCGCTTAGACTGGTACGCACGTGCGGACCGGGACGCGCACTCAAGCGAATGTTTACAAACAAAACTCGGCAAGTTTACGACCCGAAATATAATATACTGTAAGATCACCCAATGGTATTACTCCTACTTTTCTCTCGTCGAACATTCTCGAAGGTTCTAGATTTTTCCTTCGACGCCTCTTGCAAGAATTAGTGCAACAACGACGATGCCTTGTTGCCAGCTAAGTAAGCCGACGCGTGCCCATATAAGGGACGCACGCGGCGCGTCTCGATCTCTTTTGCTGAAGATACCTCTCGCTGAAAATCATCTCTTGTACCACCCTCGCTCAATTGCGCTTGCGGCTAACATCTTGCCGTGACCCGACCGCAGTGACCGACTATAGTGAACCGATTCAATCATCTACCAGTAGCAGGCATGGCACACGGATCTCGATCTGCCCTCAGCAGGACCTCCATGGAACGGTCGGTATTTTCAGCAGAGCCGCCCCGGAAGATCAAGCCTTCGGTTCGTGTGCGTATTCAAAAGGCACATTTGTAATATTACTTCGCGCTCGCTCAAGTGTAACAGCCGCTCAGTGTTTTAGTATACTGTGAAGACGACACGTGGCCATATATTCGGCATCATAGTTAAGAATACACGCGTGCATAAGAATAAGAAATCGGCAAATTAAATAGTGATTACAGTGAAGCCAATGGAATAGTTATCAAAGGGGACATCAATTACACAGCAACTAATACACCTTGCCTGCAGTTCACCAGGTACACCTTTATATTAATAAATAAAGAAGTCACATCTCTCGCTAAAGTCGATCGGGCACACTTACGCTCTCTCGAACTGATCCCTCGACATCGTACAGGCCCGCTAGCAGAACCAGGGCACACTTACGCTCTTCTGAAGAGCACTTCGGAACCGTACAGGCCATCAACAGCTGACGCAAGAGTCGCTATGCCTTAAGCACATTGTCACAAAAGGACAACAACAGATCGACTAATAGACTATAAATACAGATTATTACATCCTTCAAGAGTTAGACATCTTACCATTAATCACTCTTACGTGTGAATAGCTCTTTTACAGCTCCCCTTAAATAATAATAGTCCATTAAACATCTTGCACCATATCAAGTATAGTTATTCATCCATCAAGCATACTTGATTTGACTACCATCGTCTCATGCTACCTCACAAGCATGATTGGTTGACGACACCAGCTGATATTTACAACATCAGCATTACCTCAACTTCAAGACAGTAATATCCATAAAATCTACATACATAATTAAAGACACAATTGATTACTTACTAAATTCCATTAAACATCTTACACCATATCAAGTATAGTTATGCATACATCAAACATACTTGACTCAACTACCATCTTCTCATGCTACCTCAAAAGCATGATTGACTGACGACATCAGCATTACTTCGACTTCATGATACTTACTCATATCCATAGCATCTACAATAATTCAAGAATACAAGAATACACCCTCACTACTTCAATAGAATTATTTCTCTTTACATCAAAGTGCAATATTGTTATAATTATTAACATGAATAAACATTGTTTTACTAAATACACGATATTTTTCAGCCGTCTAAATAATTTGAACACTATTGCTTATTAATATGTTGGATATCTCACTTTTAGTAATACTCTCTCAATATATTAAACCCTTGAGACATTTCATACTCAGTTAAGTTTTTAGTCAAAGTCTATTTAGCGCTATTTCGGGAACGACTTACACTTCTTCGGATTGTCCATTAACACTGTTACTGGAACAGTAGTTACTGCCCCGGAAGAACTACGACATAAACCCGTATGTCCACTAACGCAGTTACTTGTTCCAAGGGAGCTACGACAATCCGCCGATCAGAGTCCGAAGACGAGTCAACGATTAGTCTTTGTAAGTAGTATCTACTACAATAATTACATATATATTGAGATTCAGAGTATTACATCGACAAGCACTAAATACGAAGAAGCTACTCTTAAAACGACAGTGCGGAATAAATTCCAGTACGCGTCGTCAAGTTTCGCGCCCGCAAAGGGCATCTCACTTCGTAACCCTCACCTTAGTTCAAATTCGGAAGCTTACGAAAGTACGCAAAACCCAACGCAAGTGTAGGCAATCCAGTTTCGCGCCACTAGCGATATCTTTCAATCATAAAGCCGCATTCGTAACCTCAACCACACGTGCTCGTTCAAAAGGCGCTAGTGTCGACGAACGAAACTTCGCGCCATTCGCCATTCCTATTCAATAATCAAGCTGCATAGGTTATTGTACAGTTGTCTCCGCAACACATCACTTCAATCAAGAATTTAGTTCTACAAGTAATAATAGTAATACTAGTCAACCTTGTCATTAATAAATAACAGAATAAAAAGCATATACTTCAGCCATATCTTTATTGTATTATTATAATATCCCTTCGACTTGTGACCTGTCATCGCTACCACACAACACCCGTGGTCTCTGAGTTGACAACGGCATCAAATTGTATCCGTCGAACCGGCCTTGATAAAACAAGTCGGAACGACGAGGTGCATTTTGTACACCTACCTACAATTTTTTTTGTCATTTGAACTATTATTTGTAGTTAATGTTATACACGACCTAACGATGTATATGTGAATCAGATTGATTCGTACTTATTTATATGATCAATTGCAATGCCATTCAACTAATTAAAGTTTTTTTTGTTTTCTTAGCATTAAACTCAGTATATTGTGGAATAAATTTGGCTTTAAAATTGAAAAGTAAATATATGTACATATAAGATAATGCTATGAATGTCACATAATAAAATTATTGCAAGGTAAGTATAGCAAGGTTACAATTCAATATCAAATTTTCGAATGGATAAACTTATGTAACTATAAAAAAGAATTTATCTGAAATAAACATATGGTTTTAAGTACAATAATCGAATGAAAAATTGTGCATAATATTGATAAATCAGTTATAATTATTGAGAAATTAACATTTATATTTCAATCTATTGTTATCGATATTAATATTAGCCTTTGAATTTTGAAGACTTTACAATTTTGTCTTTCCGTTAATTCCACAAAAGATATTTAATCTTTTTATAAGTAGTTGTGATAAATGAGCGAAAAGCATAATTGTAATAATTATAAATAAGACTTTTCTTTGGTTTTTAAGGAATATATGAGTAACACAAAATAATATTTATATATGCTCACAATATTCATAAGCATATAGTTCTCCCGATTTCTTTTTTTTTTTATCACTTCCCTATAATAAATTAATAAATTAATTCTGTTACGCAGTAATGTGAGAAAATTATATAAAGAGTGAATTGGTATTTTGTTAAACACTATTAGATAAATACAAGATACTTATAAGGTAATATAATAATTATATTTTATAGATACTCGATAAACTCGAAATTCTATATACATTGAATCAGTTCCAACACATTTCACTTTATTTATATTTTTTATGTTCAAAGACTTATAGATAATACTGTTAAATAAATTTTGGTTGGTTTAATATAAAATAGGATTTATTAATCTTAAAATGATGCTTGCAATTATTTTATTAAATTATGCTAATAATTTATTGTGTATCACTCCGATTTACTTGGTGTTAGTTATACAAACTCTATGAAGTTACTGGCTTAGGTATATATTTCTATATTTTTCTAATATTTCCGATATTTTTGTTTTTCTATGGTATATAATCTACGTTAGTATATCGTTCATTATTATGCGAATCATAAAATATTAATATTTATCTCTTTTTTTTAATATATAAAATTATTATCATAATATTAGCGAATAACTTAATTAATATTTAGATATTATATTTTATTTTCAAATCTTAAAGTCTTCTAAGTATTCAAATGTGTTTTATACAGGAAGTAAATTTCGTTACGTTGTATATCAGATATTTCAAGAGTTCCTAGAACTAAAACTTCGGATTCTGATATAATTTTGATTATCATGTTAAAATATTTTTTTGACCCTAAAAAATAGAGTTATAATACTTATACACTTTATATTACTAATATTTATACTTGCTTGTTGTTAGATCGCTAAAATGGTACCTATCAACAGTTAATTAAAAAAATCAATACAAGATAAAAGTTAATAGCATATCAATCAATATAATTGCTGATACTTTATTTTTTCTGCCAATATCCTGTATTAAAATATAATCACTAGTCGTATTAGCAGAAAGTGTTTTGTGTTTTTTCTTTTTGGAGATCGTTTATAGTCTAAAATATTTAAAAGAATTTTATCGTTTGATTAATAGTTAGTTATTTATCAGTAGTATCTCTATCGGCAGTGACCAAAAATCCAGAAGCAGATACATTAGTTCTATAATTTGGATTCATCTTTTTTGAACAAGAAACTACGAGATGTATATAATAGTTTACAATTTAGCAGTTGAGATAGACTGTAACTCCACAATGTAGCTGAAAATAGAAAGTTGAACTAATGGTCCAATATGAGGATATATATTATTAGAATATATAATAGAGGAAATACATTGTGTTAAAAAGTATTTAAATATTTCAAGTGTCTGCATTAATAAAAATATATATATTGGTTTTGTAACTGCTGAACAATCTTCTACAAATAATCGTATGCAACGACGTCTTATTTATTAGTTGTAATGAGTTGTATATTTCATTATGGATGGTATTTAATTCGATAGTATATATAAATAAAAACAATAAAATTTACGAAAAGTCTTAAAGGCAAGATCTCGTTCTAGTAGCCAAAATAAACAAAACTACCGTGGCTGATAGATAATAGAAAATTAGAAATCATTAGGAGAACTAAAATAAACACATACATGAACGTTAAATGGATAACGTTCATTCTAATAGTTATCTTGTTTTTGAAGAATATATTTTGTAATATGCTTTTAGTCGGCGTTTGAGAATAGGAATAATACAAATAAATGTTTAGAATATATTTAAATTATTTATCAAACCTTTTACTTGTTGAACACATGTAAGCTTCCGTTCCCAAAGATCATCAAAAGAATGTGCAGTGATTGGTTCAAATTCATTTGTATATTGCCGCAGACCCGCATTAGTTGTATAACAACACATACACATGCAAGAATGATATCTCAATCTTCCTTCATCTAAATATGGATGAGCTAAGGCATCGCTTACTGTAATCCGTTTATCCTATAAGATTAATATTTATTAAAAAGTGAAGTGAAAATTATAACGATTTTAAAAATTATGTATCAAAGTAAAGAAAGAATTAATTTACAGGATCAAAGACTAGCATTTGACACAGCAAATGTACAGCTTCATGTGTGGCTTGATTACTTAAAGTATATAGTGCGGTTAATGATGGTGGCTTAGGAGTACGCCTGAGCATATGAGATTTTGCACCTTCACAAGCATATCTCATATCTTCAAGGCTAGGTGTTCCCAACAATTCTGTAATTAACTCGAGCTAAAAATAAAAAATTTTTTTTTTTATTTTGAATGTCATTTATACCATTCTAAATTTCGATAAATGAAACAAATATTTGTAATAATTATTTGAAAATTTTATTCAATTATGTTTTATTTTTTAATACTGTATTTAATTTATATTAAAAATATTTCAATATAAATAACAATTTACAGTATTCGCGATAGACTTAAAAAATGATTAAATATTTAATATTACACTCATTAACTCATTATGGTGAACTAAAAAAGTATACATAATTCTTTACTAGTATCAATTATTTTTCATATATTCCCTGGAGCTTAGGATCGTAATCCTAAAAGGTTTTTGCTATAAAAAGGAAGTGTCTAATCTGATATAAATTTAGTCATGTGGAAAGATTATTTGTATATATATACGACAAATGTCAAGTCTTGTATTTGAATTGAAACATTTAGAGAATTGTAGTTATAACTTACTTGAATCGATAAAGGTTTTCGAAAGTAAAGAACAAATTCAAATTAAATTGTAATTAATCAAATGATTAATTATCATTTTATACATATGCTCGATTACTTTATTATTTTACAATATTACAAATGTAAATATTTAATTTTTTTAAATATTTGAATCATATAAGCAAGTTTCTAAACTACTCTACAATAAATTCCAAATCTTTCTTATAACGTTTCATTCATTAATATATATTGTTTAAAGTTAGACCAAGGTCACCAGTTTCCTGGTGGGAGAAAAGTGTGGGTAGGTGGAAGGGGTAGCGCTTCAATTCAGTTTTTAACACATCTGCTTTTCGCGCTTGTTATTTCGTTTATTTTACAACTACAATATAATGATTCTACGTTGACGATGAGAATCGCTGAGATCTTGCCGTTTCTTGGTTGTTGCCACATGGTTGTCAGCATGCACTATTTGTAGAGGTAGGAGGTCGTAAATCTTTGGATACTTTTGATGCAGTGCGCTTGGTGGTGAAGTACTAGACTGAGAAGTGAGAGGTGGTAAGTCTTTTGACACTTTTTCGTACAGTGCCACGTAGTGATAACTTGTTGCTGGTCTCCTCCAACCTGTCTTGTTGTGTTGGAGAGTGCGAAAATGTTTCGATACCATCATGTAGCGTCGAATGGTGTTGCTTGCTCTAGCTTGTGGAAGCGACCACTTGAGAGAATTCTGAGGGAGTGTGCGATTGCATCTAGTATGAGAAAGGCCTGTAACAGCTTTGTGCTCGGGCCACTGTGTATAAAACTCTGCTTAGTATGAAGCTGTTCAGTGTACCTACCGTAGCGGCTCTCCTGAGTGTGTGATTGCTCGGGTGACTCGGTTTTGGCTGAATAGCTCATAGCTGACTAGCGCCTTGGTCGACTAGCGGCTATCTCGTGGTGCGCTTGTCTTAAATATCCACGCAACAGCATTGTTTTCTGACATTGAGGAGGCGATTAGAGTACTTCAAATAATGGATGCGATTGTGTACTTGTTTTTCCGGGCCACCAACGACCGTTGAAAAGTTTCACAAAAATTATCACTGTCGGTGTTTTTCCCAAAAATAGCCGTTGGAGTTTTTTCTCGAAATGATAACACTCGAGAGATTCCCGGAATCTCGAACATATATATATTTTTTGATTATACAAGGTAATTTTTCTATTTCAAAAATAGATCATGTGTTATCAATAAAATGTTATAATCAGCAATATAGTTGATGAAAAGAAAACATAAGTATTTGTATTATTATGTATTATTATTATTGCATTATTATACTATATTTTAAATATGTAATGAAATTATTATCTTTATTTTTTAGTTAACTGTAAAACGGGTAATTTTTTATTAAGCTTAAGCAATCACAAAAGACATTCCATTAGTAGTTAGTTCGATCTTTTTTTACCAGATGAGTGGATATTATTATCTCTACGCATGTTACTTTTTCTGTTATTTAGGACAGAAGCTAGTGTTTAAACGAATTTTAATAATGTTATTTTCAACAAGCTAAATACGTTATTCTTATAATGAATAATATATTTTACGTCTTTAAAAAATATTAACATAAATCTAAGATAGGTTTAAAAAACTTTTATATATAATAAAAATCATGAAGTTTTATATTCTATTTTTTGTATTATAACCATATATAATTTTATGATTAATTTAATTTAGAAGGATAAATGGATAACCTTTTTTATATTTTTTATGAAATATTTTATGAAAATGAAAATTATTTTCAAATTTAGAAAAAGAAAATTTAACATAAAATGAAAAATTACCATTATCTTTATTTTTACCTGTTGAACAGGGCTTTGAGCTTGGAATAGAATACGCCGCCTTAAAAGTTCCCCAAAAATACAACCCACACTCCAAATATCAACAGAAGTTGTGTAATGTCTTGCACCCATAAGAATTTCTGGTGCTCTATAATACTGTGTGACTACTTCTTGAGTCATATATTTCTTTTTATCCAACTCTTCCACTCGTGCTAATCCAAAATCACAAATCTAATAAATAATACAATTATTATTTATTCACATTAAATATATATCTTTTAATTAATGATTATTCTACATTATATGAATTATATAGTTACTGTTAACAGAATTCAAGTATATTCCAAAAGTGTATAATATATTTAAAAACAATAAATATAAATTAACCGCAATTGATAAATTAAAATTAATATAATCAGCTTCAATTTAGAGAACATACATTCTTGTAGTTTACTTTCAAAATTTGAATCTCCAAAATTGAAGTACATTTTGATTTACTTTAAATTAACGTTAACGTTTAAAATGTTACTTTAAATATTGCGAATACTTTAAAAAGCATAAATAAAAAGTAATCATAATATGTAAGCTAAACTTTATAATGCTTATAAATTTAATAAACGGGGTTTTAAAGAACATAAATAAATAATTTAAGTTATAATACATATCATTTTTATTGTCTTTTAGATTTTGCAATGGATATTTATTATACTACTTCTATAACTGAACAAAAATTATAAAGGTATTTGATCATAAAGATATTGAGTGCTTCTGAACACCAATTATTCCTACAATTCTATACGAATCATAACGTTTATCAATTATATTAATACATATTTTTATTAATCTGTATTAAAAAATATCTTTTTATTTTGGTTTTAAAACAAATGCCATTTATATAGAACTGTATTGTTTATTTTATAATAATGTAATTAATATTAATATTGATAAATCTTGTAATAACATTGTGTTACGAATTGAAAAATTGAAAGGCGAAAGTGGGAGTGGTATGAACGCGTAATTTAGTTATTTAAACAAAACAATAGGAACGAACGTTCTAATTTGGTCCTCCTATGAGGAAGTCACCTGTTGTAAGAGTTGAGCAATCATCGGGATCATCGCTTAATGGTTGAAGAGGACGTGATTTCAGAATGGACTCCACTTGTGCTAATAAAGTCATAATTTCTTCAATGGTGAATGATGTTTCTCTCGTTGAGCGTTTAAGGTAGAATTTAATCGATTTTACTACGGCTTCCCAGTTTTCTCCCATATGTGAAGCTGCAAGTGGATTAAATTCGCAACGTGTATATTCTTCCGTGAGTATATTTGTGATATGATCGTGTTCCTTGGTATATTGAATGAATAGTCTTTTCATTTCCTTATCTGCTCCGATGAATGTTGTCCCACAGTCTGAATGTAAAATCCTTGGAATGTCTCTGCGGCTTGAGAATCTTCGATATGCTGCAATGAATCCTTCCGACGAGTAACCAGTCACCATTTCGAGATGCACTGCGGATGTAGCTAGATATACGAAGCCTTGTATGTTTTTGCTCCTCGCCCTTTCCATGTCCTTATTGTGAGTGGACCAGCATAGTCAACGCCAGTGTGGGTGAATGGTCGCGAGGGGTAGTTGACCCATTAGTTGGCTGGCACGAATTCCTCTTTGTTTGGCACAGATGATACATCGTAGTATGTGTGATTTTACAGCTGGTCGCCCTCGTGATTTGGGTACCTCCATGAAGTGTTCTAAGATGTGCTTGATCAATGATGAAATTTGTAAATTGTGATAGTCTTGGGAGAATGGCTGGATGTTTGTTGTCCTCTGTCATTGAAGCGTTCATTAGTCTTCCACCAACTCTTATGATTCCTTGTGCATCAATGTAGGCTGTATGACTGTGAAACGTGTGTGAAGGAGGCAATCCTTTTTGGGACTTCATCTCATTTAGTTCATGTGAGAAGTATGTTTCTTGTGTCAATCGTATCCATTGTTTTCTTGCTTATTCTATTTCAGCATGTGTCAGTGGACTTCTTGAGGGCTGTTCCCCTTTTATGCATGCAATGAACTTGATACATGTCGCTGTTATTCTCAATAGTTTCTTGAGTGACGGGTATTTGTAAATGACGTTCCAATCATAGTCCTGTCTTTTAAATGTTGCTATTAATGAGATACTTGGGCGAACTTCCAGAGTACACTGCTCATTTTCATCTGTTGGTTGTATTGGCCATGAGTTTTGTGTAGTCATCCATGGTGGTTCAGTCCACCATAATGGATGGTCCTTGAGTTGTTGAGTTGTTAATCCTCTGGAAGCGCAGTCTGCTGGCTTTGATGTTCCTGGCACATATTTCCATTGTGCTTCTGATGTTAGTTCTTGAATTTGACTGACTCTGTTGCAGACGAATTCCTTCCATCGTGACGCATGAGATTTAATCCATGATAGTGTTACTCGAGAGTCAGTCCATAGGTGCGTAGTCTTTATCTTTATGTTTAGTGTGGCTTTGATGTGAGCCATGAGTTTTGATAGTAGTAGTGCAGCTGTTAATTCTAATTTTGGAATTGTGAGTTTTTTGAGTGGTGCGACCTTTGTTTTTCAACATATGAATGCACATTCGTTTTTTTGTCGTGATTATGAATATCCATGTGAATGACTGTGGCCATTGCAACTTGGCATGCGTCAGCGAAACCATGTAATTCGATTATGGATGAGTTTTCAGTTTTGAACCAACGAGGTATTGTTATTTTATTCAGTTTTGGTAAATCCTTTCTGATGTTATGCCATTGATTAATGACTTTGTTTGGTAGTAGATCGTCCCACCTCACAGTGTGGAGCCACAATTCTTGGAGCAGCATCTTGACTCTTATTATTACTGGGGATGCAAATCCCAGTGGGTCAAATATTTTTGCAATGTCGGATAAAATTGTGCGTTTTGAAGAGGCGGTTTTCTGTGGGCTCAATGATGTTGAAAATGTAAATATGTCTTCGTGAGGTTTCCATTGTAATCCAAGAATTTTTGTGGTGTGATAGCTGAAGCTTATTGATTGTTGTGGATTCTATGATATCTCTGATAGCGGTGAGGACTTCCTTTTTTGTAGTGCCATTTTGCCAATGAAAAACCGCCCGCCATGCAGAGATTTTAAAGTTGTATTACTATTTCCATTAGCTGCTGTATGGTTTTTGCACCCTCAAAAATATCGTCAACGTATCTCCTGTACTTCAGAGATGGTATTGCCAATGGATATTTGTTTCCTTCATCCTTTATGAGTTGAAATAACGTTCTTACTGCTAGAAATGGAGCAGCCTTTGTACCATATGTAACTGTTGTTAATTGATATATTACTTCATGCCCTTGTTCATCTATCCACAGCATTCGTTATAGATCCCAATCATCTTTATGAACATTTATCTGTCTATACATTTTTGTGATGTCTATGGAGAATAGGTGTCGGTGTCTGCGTATCCAGATAAGTACATCTATGATATCTGGGTTCAGATTAGCTCCCGTGTGCATTATATCGTTTAATGATTGTCCCGACGTTGAGGGACTTGATCCGTTGAATACCACTTTTAATTTGGTGGTGGAACTGTTTGGCTTTATTACACCATGGTGAGGCAAGTAATAAGTTTTCTTGTCACGAGGATAATTTTCAGGTAATCTTCGCATATGATTTAGATTTTCGTATTCTGTCATAAACTGTGCATATAGTATGCGGTAATTATCATCTCTTATGAATCTTTTCCTTAAGCTTTGCAAGCATTGATGGGCTGTATTATATGAGTCGCCGAGGATTGATGGTGTTTCCCTTAATGGGATTTCAACTGTATATCTTCCAGTAATTTCGTGTGTTTGATTCTCTACATAGTGGTGTTCGCTGTTGTTGTTGATTTGGATTGTACTGGTACTCTAGTTCCCTTGGTACTTCTTCTTGTATCCAAAATCTTGTAAGTAAATCTTGTATGGTGTTTTACAGCTCTTGTGTAATTATAGTTATTGATGTCATTGTCATAGTGCAGTTATTGACTGGTCCACTTATTAGCCACCCGAAGATAGATAGTTGTGCAATGGGCATGGATGATGAATATTTGATGATGTTTGGTTTCATTATTTTTCCATACATGTCGGCTCTAAGTACAATGTCTACTGGTCGTGATTTTGCATATTCTTGATCGGTTAGTGGTAATCCATTTATGCGTGGCCATGTGCATTGAGATATCGTGGGGTGGAAGTAATATTGATAAGGACTTGAGGATGTAAGCATGGACCGTGACTGAATCATTTGTGGGTATTGACTGAATTGTAAATGTAATAATCCTTAGTGTTTGTGTTGTCCTGCTTATTTAATATATAATGATAGTGGAATTTTGTGGGCTTGTGTGAAGTTTTCGTGCCAATTTTTTCGTGATGAGTGTGATTTCAGACCCGGTGTCAACAAGTAGACGGGCCTGATAAGTAGTCAATTGTGCCTTTACGGTAACCACAGCGGTAGCTAGCAGTCATTTTTTGGCGGTTGGCAATTGGCAGTTTTCTTATCTAGTCATCTAGTGTTTAATGAGAGACTGGCGTCTTCAGATGTATGGTTTCGTTCTTCATGCAATAGTGTATGGTGGGTCTTGTTACAGTGCATGCAGTTCCTTGTGTTGAAACATGGGCTTGGTAAGTGATTTTTAAAACATTTTATGCATAACTGTAGTTTCTTAATTGCAGCCCTTCGTTCGGTAGTAGAGTTTCTTGAATTCGCTACATATCCACAATTTATGTTCTTCATTGCAGTAAGCTAATGATGTTTGATTTTGATTTGATTTCCAATGTTTTTCTCCCTTTCATTAGCCGTTGATGGCTGACATATCCTTATTTGAAGTGTTGAATTTGGGGGAAGCTTCACATTCTCTCATTTCTGTAACGTTTTCTAGTGCTTCTACTTAGGCCAATATGAATATTGTTAATTGTGCAAACGTTGAATATGCAGTATTGTTCCCTAATGATCGTTCCCATGCTGTTCTTGTTTGGTCGTCGACGTGCATTAATGCCACGTGTACCATTAACGAATTACTTTAATAATTACTTACCATTACGAAATACATTAATAAATAACTCAGTCTGCTCATCAATTTTTCTAATTCTGTAGCCGACTTCATGTTTCTTGATGATATCGTAATGGTTTGTCTTATGAGTGATTTTAATGCTAATCTGGGAGAATTATATTTTTCCATTAGTTTGTTCCAGGCTGATACTAATGAAGTGTTCTGCGGTGATATGACTGATATTAGTCGTACTGCCGACCCTTCTAGGCAGTTGCGCAGGTAATGTAATTTTTGCACGTAGTGATTGAAATAAGTCCCTAAACATGGGTCACGCCAAATAATCTCCGGTAAATTTTGGAATAGGAATGTCGGGAAGGCACATGATTGCTTGTGATTCTTCTGGAAATGTCTTCTCCTCTGTATTGGTAGTTTGCCTTTGTCGTGTCGAATTGCCCAATTCTTGGCACAATTTCATGATCACCGCTGTTGCCTTTGCATGACAAATTGCTTCTTTTAATAAAGCATTTTCTATAAAGTATTCATGAGTTATACCTGATTGTGGCCAGGTCGCTTCTATGCAGTCATGTTCTATCATGAATTTGTTCTGTAGATCATCAATGGTATTTTTTATTACTCGTACTGTACACATCAATATCCGTGTGCTCTGCGCTGAGATTGTCAATTAGTGATTTAATTGTGGTAATCCGTGTCCACTGTGATTTGGCCTTTAATATTTGCTGGTTTGTTAGCTTATCCTTTGTTGAGTTACGTGTAGTGCGTTCGTGGACGGTGGAAGTATTTGCACTCACTGATTCTTTCATTTCTTTTTTGTTTTGAGTTGTCATTTTGATTTAATGAGTACAATAGTAGTGTACGTACAGTATTGAAGAGATTTTCTTTATTTATTATCTGCTTGCAAATATTATTATATAATATGTTTTTCTTTCGATGTAGCAGTATTGGACGAATGCGCTGATTTTCACTTATCCGGCTCGAAGGACCAAAATGTCTGAGATCAGACTGAAAACCTCCGTTGGATGTTGGGTGGAGATATTACTGGCAAGTGGGAGGGACAATGCAATTATTCAAGATTACTTGTAGTGTTTATTGTCTTTCCTTTTATTAAATATAATAATATAATAAATAATTAATGATCATGAAGTATATAAATAATTCTAATATATAAATATATATTAGATAAATATATAGATATAAATATAATAATAAATATATAAATATAAATCTAATAATATAAATGGTATGATTGAATAAATATAGGAAGTTTCTTCTATTTTGTTACGTGTTGATGAGTGTATATTATTTTTGTTATATAAGCAGTACGTGCTATCATATTATGCGTTGGTGCCGCCGCTGATGTATTATGCGTCGATCTAATGGAAGAGCTGCCTTAGTAGTAGTATGCGTTAAAGCCTCCGCTATTTGTATTATGCGTCGGTCTAATCCGTTAATATGTATAATATGATTTTTATGTTTTCACTCTTGTTTTATGTTAGCTGTCTGGGATCAGACTAAAATCCTCCTTATGATGGTGGGTGGAGGCTTGCTGGCAAGTGTAACGGGCAATGCAATTATTCAATACTACCTTTAATGTTTATAGTCTGTCCTTTTATTAAATATAATAAATAATGAATAGTTAATATGAAGAATAATAAATAATAATAAGAATTAATAAAACATAAATAATCTATGAATATCGAAATGAGTGTATGATAGAATAAATAGATCAGTGTTTCTTCATTAATGTTGGTGGCGATAAGTCTGTGCGTGTATTCTTGATAGCCTGGAGCGTGATTCCTCTTCTTCCTTTGGGTTGAGTAGTTGTAGTGGGAGACTCGTGGTGGTAGGGGCAGCAAGTTGGTGCCGTCTTAGCAGCCGGCGTGGGGTGAGCTGTAGTGTACAGAGTAGTGGGAGAACGCCCGTGTGACGTTACTGCTTGTGTCCGTGATTTGGGCGTAAACCGCGGTGTAGAGGTAAGATGTAAGAACGAGCGTCTCGTCGTATCTTACATGAGCTGGCGGGAACAGCGGTGTAAGGGTAAGATGTAAGAACGAGCGTCTGGTCGTATCTTACTTGAGTTGGCTGAAACCGCTGTAGTAGTAGTCGTAAGAACGAGCGTCGGCGTTACTTACATGCGGGCGTAAACCGCGAGTGTAGAGTGGCGATTCTGTCGTGATGGGTGCTTGTTAACTAGTAAGAAGTAGTATGGAACGAGCGTTTGCGTTGCTTACGGAGGCGTGGGTGCCAGTATAGTTGTGGCATCGCTATTAGTTCCTGAGGTTGCTTGATGCTTGCCATAGCCTCCCAATGGCGATGGCAGGGTTGGATAGCGAGCCCGATGTGAAGAGTGGATGATTGGTACTAGCAAGAAGCAATCGCGACACATGCAGTTCCTTACATATTCTCGTACGAACTGGATGCGCTGATAACGCATCAGTGGTTGTTACTATGTCGCTATTTGTCGTGACGTCAATAGGGCATAGCTTTGTAGGGTTCATTTGTTATTACTTCTCGGAATTATAGTCGTATATTAGTTTTTCGGCTAGAAGCATTCTTTGAATCAGTTGGTCAATGTTTACAAAACAACACACCTCTCCCACTTTGCATTCCGCTTAAAACTGCTGTAATCCGTAACATTATCACTAACGCGTTATTAGTTTAAGTTTAGTTTAACGGATTTTATAATATAGCGTCACTATTTCTTTCTTAGATTATTTACTTAGTTGATTATTACGTATGTATACCGCTACAGTGAGTGATAAATGAAGAGAGACGATTGAAAATGAATAGTGCGCTTGTTATACTGACTGTGTAATTGTTACTAGTTAGTAGTGTTACTACGCATGAAGCGCAGCCCTTAAATATTATCGCACTATTCCTTAAACGACGGTGTTTGTTACCATGACGATATTGGTCGTGATGTCAACAGGGCATAGCCTGGAACGTTCGTTGTTATTGTTTTGTTTAAATAATTGAATTGCACGTTCATACCTCTCCCAATTTCGCCTTTCAACTTTTCAATTTGTAACACATTGGCTTTTAATAAATGAAACCTGATTGTTATATAAAATATTAAATTGTTTTTATATGAATTTTCATATTTTTATTCGAGTAAATACATACCTTTAAAATACAATTGCTATTTACGAGAAGATTCCCTGGTTTGATATCACGATGTAAAATTCTAGCAGAGTGGAGATACTTAAGACCTGAAAAATAATTACTCATATTTTCTTAATGATATTTGTATTATTATAATTAAAACGTACAGATGGTTGTTACTACAGATGTTTTAATTTAATTATATTATATGATACATTATAAACATAACGAAATTTTAAAATACTCGGTGCTTAAAAATTAGGTAATATTTAGAAAATTACTTTTTAGGTAAACTTAAAGTAGTTATAGATATTTTAAAATTTAGAATATCGATGAAATATGTCATATATAATTAATTCACAGTTAAAAAATACATTTTTTTTACTCAAATAAGTATATTTCACGTTTATTTTTTTTTTAAATAGAGGAAATTTGGTTGAAGCTCCATACATTATATACAAGAATATAATTGATTATTTCACCTTTTAGATTAAATTGAAAGTATTAATCTTTCACAAAATATGGTTTTCTACAATTTTAGAAATTTGTATAAACCATCACTCATATTAACGACTATCGTTAATCAACAAATATACTAATACCAAATCTAATTAAAATAATATAATAAAATTTCTTAAATTTGATAATCCCAATAAATGTAATGTTTAGTGTATCTGCGTGTGTTGACTGCGTAATCGTTATTACGCTAAGCTAAGACAAAGACTGACTGGAGCGTGACAAGCGCAGTCCTTAAGTATTCTCGTAGTAATTTTTAGGCGCCGGTGGCGATCCGGTGTCTGTTGCTATGCCGGTATTTATTGTGACGTCAATAAGCATAGTTTTTGTGAGTTTCATTGTTATAATTCTTCGAAATTATAGTCGTATGTTCGGGTTCTCGGCGTAGAAATCTTATTCGATTTCGTTGGCTAGTGTTTTTAAACAACTGTTCGCGTGCTCACACCTCTCCCACTTTTGTATTCCGCTTTCAACTGCTTCAATCCGTAACAATTATTCTAACATCGATACTACTTTTATTGGAATTTTAAATAAATTTATCAGTCCATATGTTTTAATAGATTTATCGGCAGTCATAAAATTGTTTTTGCTTAATATAATTGAGGGAATTTTTATGTGCTGAACCATAGATGGTTTATATGTAAATTCTCTTTTTAATCAGAGAATCTTTGACTTGTTTTATACGCATGATGAGTGCATAGAGTTAAACTGATTTACTTATTTGAAAAATTCAATATACGTTAGAAATATTTTTCTAAATGAATATATTTTTACTATGTTTTAATAAATATTTCCAAACCAAATCTGTCAATAATAGCCGCATTAATCTTAAATATTTTATTTATTGCGCGTGGTATTTGGTAATTTACTCAATTTTTTCAAGTTTTACTCAATGTCTAGAATATCTTGCTTATGTTTTAAAAAAATTATACTTTTGTATCTTCATAACTCATTAATGTAATATATCGACATCATACTCTTGTATACAAAGTGTGTCTTGTTATGAGATTAGCATTTTTTTATTTCGAGTTTAAGTACTTGAAAACTATTTTTTGTAATTTAAAAATGTTTTATTGATAAATATACGTACGTTTTGTGAAATATTTATTATAGTAAGATTCTTAATAATGTAACAGATTATTAATGTTATACAAAAAAGTTATTTTTGAACCGATCTAAATTATCTTTAGTTATTTTAAAAGCCTTCAAAATGTAAATAAAATGTTCATTTGAAATAAATTAAATTTCTCAAACTTTTTTATATATAATTAATACAATGAACATTATTTATTTTACTTACTTTATCAATATTAATTCGTCGTTCATGTTTTAATTTAATGAATTTGGTTCATAATCTTTCTTAAATAGTTATCATTCTTTTTACATTAAATCTTGACACGAAAATTAATAATCATTACTATTAATATTAAATTTAATGAATCTTTTAAAAGTTTTTTTTACATAATTCTATAATTTTTTTTTTATAGACATTTATTTATATATCAGTACTTTATTATCAAATTTTTACTTATGTTCAAATACTTCATCTATTTCTTCTAATAGTTGATCCACTATCATAAAAGTGTGATAGAAATAGATAATTAAGTTCCTAAATTTATATCTTAAATATTTATTAAAAGAATAAACCTATTAAAGTAAAATAATTTCTTACTTTAAATGTTTGAAAAAATTATATATAATAAGCAGTATTGATAAATTATGTGACTTATTTCTTGAGTTATTGTTACAAAAGTTGAAATCTTTATATACTTTATTACATTTATTTATAATTTTAAATTTATTAATCTTTAAGATTAAATCCTATGTTATTAATTTTTTTTTAATATTCTTATTTAACTTTCTATACACACATATGTTTTTCTTACCATGAAACTGATATTTATAGTTTTTATCAATTTGGTATAATTATAATCTGTTTATTCATTCAGCTTTCATTTTAATTTTGGTAGTTTTTTTTTACATTGCATTTTTAGTTCCTGTACTATAAATAATATTGATTCTTGTTATATATAGTACTTTATTTTGTTTTGAAATTTCTTTAAAAATTAAATTAAAATTAATAATATAAATTACAATTTAAAATAATTTAACTTAATTATTGTTTTTTAAATGCAGATTGTGATTTACGTTTATGTTTTTCACTTTATTATTCATATTCCATATATTTTATTAATAAACGCACTTTAGAAAAATACTAATTATAATGTCAACTTGGATGCAGAGGTATGTTACATTCATTTTATAAATAGCTTAATGTATTATATAGTGTTCCATACTCTGCAAATCTTCAGTGTATAATACACAATATCTCCCAATACCATATTTTATTTTCTTTAAGGCTTTCGTTGACTATCTTTCTTACGCATGTATTATAAATTTATAATACTTATTATCTGTAAGTCAATCAATAATATTTCTTAACAACATACATTATTTTGTAATATTTTTCTAATAAAAAGAAAATTATATTCAGTTTACAACAAAAAATTACATACTTGGTATGTTATAACTTCATTCGGTAGTATTTATTGTTTATTGTACATATTTAATTATCAATTTAAATAATATTCCATTATACTTACAATTTAAAGTTTGATTTAGAGTTCATAATGATATATACAAATATATATTCCATTTATGAATATTTTCAAATTGATTTTAAACAGAATTATTTTAAAATATACAATATGTTACTGAACAAAATGAGTCCGATGATCCAGCTAGAAGGGCCAAAATTGTTTACATAGACGACTCAGAGACCAAAAGATGTTATATGGTAGAGATGTACGGGCAAGTGGAAGGGATAGTGTAGTAATTTCAATATTAATACATCTGTTGTTATGCTGTTTATTCCGTTAATTTCCAAATACAGGAATGATTCTTGTTACTGACATCAATCAATGAACTCTTGATTCTGTGCAGATCTTGGCTTTAGCAAGCGCACTTTAACCAGAGGTAGGAGTTATAATGTTTGCTTCTCTTGGTGCTATACCCACGGAAGTGAGAGGTTGTAAAGCTTTTACCATTTCATCGAGTAGAGCCACGTGATGTTTCTGCAATGAGCGTTCAATGGCGCGAAGATTAGTTAGTAGACATGTGTTGTGTTGGAGGTTAGGGTCGGCAAGGCGGCCGCAAATGGCCCGAATATTAGTAAGATCACCAAGGTGGGCGCTAAATGGGGCGTTTGGCTTGCAGACGTGTCTTCGTGCGCGTGGGCACTAATAAGCTTCTTTTTGAGTACAGACAGTAGAATGAATTAAGATAATTTTACGTGTACTTGTGTGATGGCCTCAATACATTAAGTATGCCGGGTGACCTGGCTCCTGGAGAACCTTGAATTTGAGATGATGGCTATGACGCCTAAAGTAAATGATAGTACAAATGAAGACTAATCTTGGACTCAGTTGAGTGACTTTTCCACTTCCTTTTTATTTGAGGACTTCAACGAAAGTGTTTAAATCTTATGGTGGTCTCTCATAAATACATTTCAATTGCCATGGTGTTCACTTGGGTTCCCTTCCCTTTTTTGTGTCCAGTCAAAGAGCTTGCAATTTATAAAACAAGGGTAGCGCTTCTCGTAGCCTCGTCTGCAATCACGAAGCTTAGTCTTGTCTTCGTTTTCGCGCCATGAAGAATCTAACGACTTGTTTTGCCAGATGTATAAGGGCACTACTACCAAATGTTTTAAGGACAGGACTTTTCAGAATTCTACCGACTATTTAATGATGTTGTTCTGTCAGATGTTTTACGGCATTGGAAAACGTTCTCGCAATCTCGAACAGTTATACATATTTATTAGTATTGCTATACCAAAAACATATACATAATTTAAAATAATGTAGTAATCGGTTCAACCTCTTTCTGAAGAATCTTAGTACTTATTACAATACTTTCATTTCACGATCATTCAAACGTTGTTATAAAAAGTTAAGATTATATCGATTATATGAACTACTGCAAAGTTGAAAATATTTTTCAGTATGAATTCAGAATGAATATGAATTAGTAATTGAATAGACTTTTATAACGAAGATTGCAAAATTTGGTTGTATGACTTATCATGTCGATGATGCTTTTGAAACACTAATATTTATAATTATAATATTAATATTATCTTACCTCGAAGTATCTGATACAAAAATACTTTTATGTGATCAGCACTGAGATGCTGAGGGCTAACGATTATCTTGTGAAGATCGCTTTGTAATAATTCCGTAATAACATATCTAATTTAATATAAGTTAAGAAAAAACAACCATTATAATTTAACAATTATTAGGAACTGTGAAGATATGAATTTATATTTATAGGAATTGAATTATATTTAAAAAAAAAAACTAACATTTATGTGAGATTGTTCGATTTTAAAGGTTTAGTTTATGGCTCGAACTACCAATTCAATAGCTCAGTGGATTAGTCTCTCGGCAGGATAACTTCAAAGGAAATAATAAGTGATAAGGCTGAAAAATATCATGTATTTAGTAAAACAATGTTTATTATTTGTAAATGATTATAATATTGCACTATTGTGTAGAGGGAGAGATAATTCTATTGAAGTAATGAGGGTGTGTTTTTGTATTCTTGATTATTGTAGCTTCCATGGATATGACTGAGTATCTTGAAGTTGAGGTAATGCTTCATGTTGTAAATATCAGCAGGTGGAGTCAATCAATCATGCTTGTGAGGTAGCATGAGAATATGGTGTTTGAATCAAGTATGCTTGATGTATGAATAACTATACTTCATATGATGTAAGATGTTTAATGGAATTTATTAAGTAATCAATTGTGTCTTTAATTATTTATGGGGATAGTAGAAGAATCTAGTCACAGGTAAGAGTGATTAATGGTAAGATTTCTAACTCTTGAAGGATTTAATAATCTGTATTTATAGTCTATTAGTCGATCTGTTGTTGTCCTTACTTGACAATGTGCTTAAAACATAGCGACACTTGTGTTAGCTGTTGAGGGCCTGTACGATGTCGAAATATTAATTCGAGAGAGCGTAAGTGTGCCCTATTTCTGCTAGAGAGCCTGAATGGTTTCGAAGTGTTTTTCGAAAGAGCGTAAGCTGGCCCTATCGACTCTTATGGGCCTGTACGGTTTCGAAGTGTTCTTCGAAAGAGCGTAAGTTTGCCCAACTTATTTTTGTGCGAGTCGTGACTAACTAATTTATTAATATAAAACGATGTACCTTGCAAACTGCTGACAATGTGTGGTGATTTCTGCGTAATTAATGTTCCCTTTGATTACTATTCTGAACTGCAGGCTAGGTGTATTAGATGCTGTGTAGTTGATGCCCCCTTTGATTACTGTTCCATTGGCTTCACTGTAATCACTATCTAAAACTGCCGATTTCCTTTTCTTATGCACGCGCGTAATTTTACCTATACTGCCGAATATATGGCCACGTGTCGTCGTCAACAGTATACTAAAAACACTGAGCGGCAATTACACTTGAGTGAGCGCGAAGTGATATTACAATGACCCTTTTGAATACGCGCACGAACCGAAGGCTTGATCGTTCCGTGGCGGTCCTGCTGAGGGCAGTTCGAGACCCGTGTGCCATGGCTTCTACTTGTAGATGATTAAATCGGTTCACTGTGGTCGGTCACTTCAGTCGGGTCATGGCAAGATGTTAATCGGAAGCGCAGTTGAGCGAGGGTGGTTCGGCAAGAAAGCCGGTCAGCAAGAAAGATTTTCAGCGAGTGGGCGAGGCGCACTGCGTGCGTCCCTTATATAGCCAGACGGCGGCTCTCTTAGCTGGCAACAAAGCATCGTCGTTGCACGAGGCGTAGAAAGAAAATCTAGAACCTTCGAGAATGTTCGACGAGAGAAAAGTAGGTGCAATACCCTTCTGTGATCTTATAGTATATTGTATTTCATGTCGTAAAACTTGCTCGGACTTGCCGAGTTTTATTTATAAACATTCGGCCGAGTTCGCGTGCCGTGCGCCGCACAGCGCGTATGACCTACTTTTTTTTAAATTCATGGAACTGTATCAATCTCGAATAGAGATGTATGCGATCATCTTATATTTATATATATAAATAATTAACATTTTAAGTAAATGATGGTATAGCAAACAAAACTATTATACAGATGAGTAAGTTTGCACACGGCATTTCGGGTATTCGTGCATGTGTCTATTATTACCTTAATGTGCGATATGCATACCAGTGGTATCATAAATGAGATATTTCACCTAATTTGCTCATAGTTATAATAGTTCACGTAAAATAAATTAAAGAATTTCTTTTCAAATAGCACTCTATATATTTGATTTTCTCCTCTAATTGTTCCGTAAGATTGAACGTGTAAAATATCCAACCAATCATAATGATATGAACTGCCGATTAAAAATTAGACAATCAATCTATATCAGAAAATAATTTTATTTGTATCAAGCGTTTTCAAATTTATTTACAATTAAATATCGAATTATGGTTAGACCAGTCATATTTGGTACATATGTTATTATTCACAACGGGGTTTTAAAATATCTGTTAGATATTGTAAATATTGGAAATTGCAAATTCGTTTGATTAGTTTTATAACATTAAAATTTGTTAAAAAATACTTCATTAAATGTAGGTATAAACATTAACTTATCTTAAGTTATAAATTTATTATTAGTTACTGTTACTGATTACAGCAATTTTACGCGGTAAACAAAGTGGGAGAGTTAAAGACACCTGCTTAGGTCGAAACATTGCGTTCCGAGTCATAAACACGATTCTAATAGGTGAAACTACATTACAATTCCAACTAACAAGGACCGACGAACTCTCTAAGGCTAGATTCTAGTGTCGTCACTCTAATAATCAGCATAACAAGAGTGATCCAGAATTCACCGGAATCGCAAGCCTGTACTAGGATATTTAAGGAGATGCGCTTGACGCTCTCGCTCTCTTACTAGTTTCATCAAGCATTTATCAAGATCGGATCGCCATTCTACAGATCGACTCCAGTTTAACGTAAGCCAAGCTCACTCGGCCTACCAACGCTGCAGAGATCGACTCCACACACATAAACTATGCTATTACACACGTTCTTACGGATCACTAACACACGGCTGCTATCAACTAAGTAAGCAGTAATTCTAATAAGTGGTATACGGTACGAGTAATACTCCCACCCGTCAAGCAGTGACGTGACACGGATATCCTCCCTCCACTAGACCCACAGCGTGCATCTTGCTAGCGGCAACGGCATCATCACTGCCCCGCATCAGTGACGTCACACAGGCACCCCCCACTCAGGCTGCTACAGCTCTTTTCGGCAGCGGCAAAGGCGGCACCATCGCTGCCCCTTATCAGCGCGAACCTCGCCACGGCATCATCACTGCCCCGCATCAGTGACGTCACACAGGCACCCCCCACTCAGGCTGCTACAGCTCTTTTCAGCAGCGGCAAAAGCGGCACCATCGTTGCTGCTTATCAGAGCGAATCTCCCACTACCACTGCGAGTTCATAACTACGAGTACGAGAATCAAGCACCAAGCTACCAAGAATACGCTTACAGGATTCTTGTCGCTCATATTAATTGAAGAAACTCTCATTTATTCATTGTATCATACATTCAATTCGACATACATAGACCACTGACTATTTATTATATTTAATAAAGGGAAAGACACTACATTCAAAGGCAGTGTTGAATTATTGCATTGTCCCTTCCACTTGCCAGCAAGCCTCCACCCACCATCACAGGGAGGATTTTAGTCTGATCCCAGACAGTTACCTATAATTTTGTATTTCTATAAACTCAATATAATCAATTTTTTTATTTCTCGAAATTAAATAAATTTTTAAATTAATTTTATATATTTAGTAGTATGTTATAAATTAAAAATTTATTAATTAACTATTTACAAATTAAATATAAAAATTTATTTATCTTAATTGCAATTATGTACTCTATATTATAAAAAGTTATATCTATTTATTTATTAAAAGGATACATTTCTTGAAAAAAATCCAGATGTGGCGGTTGAAGAATATCCAATGCAGAAAGTACCTATATATAAATTAATTTTAACATGTGCATAAAAAATAGAAAAGTGAAATTTATAATATAGTAAACATATTAATCTATTATGCATTGTCATTATCTAAATATTTCAGAGTTAAATTAGAAAAACTAACAACTTATAATTAATTGTAAATTCGTAAACAAATCACATAAATTTATAAATATTTCCTCACTTTAATTTCTAATTTAAAAATGAAAAATTAAATCTGATTTAAATCATAAAATATTGGGACTTTTTCTTATAATTTTGTATACGTGCTAACTTATATTTTCAATCCATTTTTAACATTAATTATAAAAATGTCAAACATATATTTATGCTTATTTCTAAAAACAACCTTCTTATATTATTTTGTAAATTATTTAAAAAAGAAAATAGGTGTATTTATATAACAATTTGGAAATGATAAGAATGCTTTTTTTTAAAAATTAACATTGAATTGGTTAAGTTACGTAAATTTTATTAATTAAAGTATACCTACATACCAATGTAGAAATAATCAATTATACTACACTATATTTATTAAAAATAAGTTATCGACTGTTATTCTTTATTTTAAATATTCTATTTCAAACCACTATATATTACCAAATTAGTAAAAAAGTGTACACAATTTAAAATTTTTTATTTGAATGGTGTTATACTAAACGTGTTTAGGTTTTTAAATTTTTATTTACTGTTCTTTTGTCTAATTATGTTTATTACCATTAAAATATTTAATAATAATTTTATACTTACATTTTCGTGTTTAAAAAAACATAACATTTTTAATTCTCTAAACACTCTTCTGCTGCTAATTAAACTTTGAAAAACATTCGGTAGTTTTTTTAAAGCAACCCTTCTTCCATCTCTTGGATCCGTTACAGCCCTAAAACCAAATTTAAATTTAATCGTAATATATATTTACCTAGAGTTTATTCATTTTCTTATAAATAAATAAGCTATTATTATTAGTATTTATTTATAATTTATATTCAAATTAATTATTTCATATATCTATAGTATATTAAATTTTTATATTATTCTGAACATGATGAAAAAGGTTTAAATATTTATTTAATAGTCATATTAAAAACTATTACAATTTTTGTTTCAAAGTTAGATTTTTTTTAAATATAAATTTTATTATTTAAACTAAGGTTTTGTACAGATAAAATAAATGTGCAAATTTTCCAATCGTTAAGTATAATGGTTATAATATTTGAGATTCGTCAATTAAAAAATTGTATTTTGAAAATTTGCATGAAATAATTTATTAAGAACTTGTAAATTAAATTGGCTTAATTCGAATATTTAATACAATAGGTAAATAGTATATTTTTAATATTAATGACATTTTTATATTTAATACCTGTTTTTGCTCTGAAAGTGGAACACAACCATTTATTATTTAGTATTAGAATATTAAAAATAATTTTTATGAAAAAACATACAATTTATTAGGTAACGTAAGTATGTTTATTTATTAATTAGATAATCAATTTTAAAGTGACTTTCAGCATAAATTTACATAATGATGTATATAATGATATTGTTTACTTCAAAAACTGAGATTGTAAAAGGCAAAATGTTTTCTTAATAATGAAAACTATGAGAAGATCATTAAATAAAATAGAAATAATATAAATTGCTTACGAGATTTTAAATAAGTTATTAAATTTTTTATTACATGAATTCGTATTAAACACTCTAGAATTATCTTTTAAGCACATTTTAATACAGTGAAATTAAAAAAAAATCAAATAAATTAGTAACTTTGAATAATATTTCAATATACAAATAAATAAGTGATAATAGTAGCGATAGTAATCTATTCATAGGCATACTTAATCAAAAGTAAAATCAAAGCATATAAACTTTCTACAATTTTTATTATTTTTTAACAGAAAATGGAAATATTTATCAAAATGCCTATATAATTTTAATATTTTAGGTTAAAATTACTGTATTTAAATATTAAATTTTGTTTAAGATGGAAAACTAAGTTTCTTCAACTTTCGACAGTTATCTGAATACGGTATTTTTTAATGCATTTCATAACATTTTTTAACATTTTTCATCGCAGATGGAATTAAAAATTATTATATAATTATTAGTTTTATAATCTGTATTCATATTTCAAATAATTGATTTTTTTAAATATGATAAATATTACAAGATTATTATTGTAATAATATACAAAAACGAAGTTTATATTATTATTATATTGCATTGAAATTATAAAATAAAAATATTTACATTAAGCCTGTTTTTAATGTTTTTTTTTGTTTTGAAAATTTTGTAAAATGTTTGTCTACATAAAATGAAAAATTATGGATTTATATACATACATAGTTAACCAAATTAGTTTTATGAAAAACAATTTCAAAGTTTAAAAATTAATTGTAACATACCTTCTTAACGTAAAATAACTTAAAATATTATGCAAATACATAGAAGAGACATAGTAATTGCTACTAAAATATTTTTACAATATTTTTTCTAAAAACAAGTTTCCGACCTAAAGAAAACTTTAGTATTACTTTCATCATTTTACAGTATTACTTTCCCATTATACTCAGATTTCTAATGAATAGTGTCATTTCAAAATAATTATTAATATGATACTGAATTCAAGTAATTGAATTTATTTATATTCTCATGGATAGCATTAAAAAGTTTTATAATTGAGAGTTATTTTAACTCTTTTATAATTTCTTGTATATTTAAAAATAAAAATAATTTTTTTAGTAAAAATTTAGTAATAATGTATTACATGTCTTATTATGTATTATATGAATTTTTCTATGAATACATCATTTATAGAAAGTTTTTAATTCATACGTAACCTCATCATAGATACATTAAAAGGTTACTGAATTAATGTAGTGTAAAGAAATATGATTGAATTATGTCATATTCAAGTATTGCAAGAATATAATACTTTAAAAAATGCAATAATTGTAATACTATTTTGTATATTTAAATATAGAATTTTCCAGTATAATCTTTTAATACTTTAAGAAATAAAACAACGTAATTATAAAACTATTTATACAACCAGAATGCATTTTCGCTTAATACATTATATTAAGTAAACCTTATATAACACATAATGCAATCCTTATTTAATGTAAATATTTATTTCTATTATACATACGAAGATTACATAATATATTGCACATCATATATGTTTCATGGCATGTGTTTGTTATGAAATTGTTTTAAATAAAGAATCTGATATAAGATCTATATTTTAGTTTAGTACTTGTATTTTTAAGGTATAGTGTGTGAAGTATATTTTTATTACTGCAATTACTGTATAAAAATTAATTAAATAGTTAAATTATGGTTTTACTTTATCATAATAAAACTTTAAAAATTTTTAATCGATATGACTAGAATCAATTACATTTATTAAAGTGTATACATATACATACAAACAATTATGTTATCGATAAAGAAAAACTGAAAATAAATTTTACTTTTTAAAAATATATAATGAGAGTGACTCACTTATAAAGCATGTATCTTACTCATTGGGAAATTGAACCTTAAAATTTTTTATTTTAAGCAGGAGATTTTTTTCTATTATTATACAAATATTATAGTACTAAATGTAATATATATCGCGTAATAGACGGGCATATTATAATTTTACTCTATGTATTGGTAAGCAAGTCTGCGGTATATTTTAAATATATTTAATAATACAAAAAATTTTCAATATAAATTATGTATATAATAGGTATATAAACGGATTTATACGATATTTTGATGTATCAAAACAACTTAAATTAAAATAAATTTAGAATTGACACATATATATTTGATTTGTTAAAAAAGTATTATTTCATTAAAATTATACCTTCAATTTCTAATGGCTTACGTTTTAGAAAATTTAATGTATTTCAACTAATGTAGTTTAATAATGTGGTATATGTAAATCAATACTAAATAAAAACTAAAGAATTTTAGATTCTATAAAGATTTCTGGAGAGTTTACTGTTTTTTACATTTATAATTTTTTATTTATGTGTCACATTATATGAATATATTTTATATCATTAAAAATGTATGTAGAATAAAATTTATTTTTTATAATAAGGTTTATATTGTTATGTTTAATTAAAAATAATATATAGCAAACATTAAAATATTTAAAATTGTGTATGTCCGACGTCAGAATTCAGAAAATAAAAAATAATTATAAAATATGATTCGATTAAATGACAGGTAAAGAGTAACAATTTAAATATTATCAATTAAAATAGTATGAACAAACTCTATGAAAATATGTTGAATTCGTCCCAATTGAAAAATATATTTAAGCGACAAATAATAATAATGAATCTACAAAGTTTCTTAAATATCAGACATATAAACAAAATTTATTTGACAGTAATATAAATATATAATTAGACCGTATACTCTAGTTATAATATAATTTAAATTTTAGAAATTAAGCTATTATACAATTAAAAAAAATCAATTCTTCGTTCATATTAAATAAAATTTATATAAAGTCAAAAATTAAAAAAACAACACAAAAATTTGTATTATACAAGATATTTAAAAAGCTGTATCCGTATAAATAATTTAATAACTGCAAGAGTTATTATTTGTACTTTAAACGATGAAAATATTAAACGAATTAAATATATTATGTGACATACGAAAAGAAAAACTTAAGTAATATACAATACGAGAACAATACAACAATAAAGCGATTTAAAAGATACATCGACAATAGTAGCAAGTAATTTTTTATTACAAGTTGATAAATAGTTTTATAACTTACATCTATTAAAAAATTGAATTTATTTAATTGTGATTATTGAATACAAAATTATAAATCGATTGATTTTTATGGATTTCAAACAAGATAAATATTACTTAAAATATTAAGTTATTATGATTAAAGGTACTTCTATGAAATTAAATTTATGGTATAAAAATCAATAATGAAGATTGAAGTTAACTTATACGTGAATACTAATAGCACTAAAATTTATAAGAAATCTTTACCGACTAGTTCTATACTCAAATGCCGTTGTGTATTATGTTGATTAGTGCATAATATAAATTCTGAACATTAAACAAAATTTGTATAGAATATTCTTGTTTTATACTCCATGCTTTTTTTTTAACAAACGTGCATTTATTTAATGAAGATTTTTTAAAAGGGCTTTGATTATTTTATTTAGGATATTTTGCTATTATGTTTATATAAAAAAGATTAGTAATATGCATTAACCACTTTTGTAATCTTAAATTTTGTAGAATTTTGAAATCTTAAAATTGATATAGAAAGTGTATATATAGGCAATAAATTATTAAAATTAAATATTATCAAAGAATTAAGTAATTCTGCTCAAATTTTTATACTCGATTTAAAATTCGAAATTTTTTCATTACAGTAATAATCTTACTGTTGTTTTACTTACAAAATCAACTAAATAATAAAAAAAAAGTTATACATTTTAAATCAAATTTTAGATACACATCTATTTGAAATAAAGAAACCAATATAAAATATAAATAATTAATGTTTTATATTGGAAAGATTTAAATAATTAAACCATACTTATAAAAAATAAACGAATAAAAAAATTTACCACCGTATATTCATTACACAGTAACTCATATATTGATAAAAAAAATAAAATAAATTGTGCAAAATGAATTTTTTCGAAATCAAAATAAAATTAGTCTAGGAAATAAACCATTTGCATTATTTAATAATGAATTAAACATGGTGAACTTTCAAATATCTTTAAATTTGATACCATAAAAACAACTTTTTTTTATGGTTTTGTCTTATTTCAAACTCATAAAATCAATAGATCACTTATTTCATATTGAACGTTTATAAATAGAATTTATTTA